GGATGCTGTTCGCATGAATGACGCTATATAAAATGAGAGTATTAGTATTATTATACACCCTGCTTGCAAACCTGGGGAGGAGGGGGGGGGGGGTTCGACAGCCTCAGCGATGTTGTGCCAGCCGCGTCCAGGGCAGGGATAATTGTTCCCATCGTGTTTGCTGTGCAGCATTACGATCGGCAATGCCATGAGCCGAGGTGGTTCAAGCACTGCGCGATAAATCTGGCGACCCGCGTTCTATTCCCAGCCACGGTTGACATTGGTGGCAGGTGACATCTGAACCGGTCCTGGCTTTACCCACCTTCACCAACCCAGCCTGACCAGTGGGGTGAATTCTAGATTTGAAGCTTTCGTGACTGCAAGGATTCATATTCTTAGGTTTTTTCGGTAAAGTCACGTAGGTAAAACATTAAAAATTAATAAAAGTAAAATAAAATAAAAATAAAATCACGACGTTTCGGAAGCTTGTGTTGCCTCCGAAACGTCGTGATTTTTTTTTATTTTACTTTTATTAATTTTTAATGTTTTACCTACGTGACTTTACCGAAAAAACCTAAGAATACAGTGGGGTGAAGTATGGTCGAAACAACTCCCACCATTAGTTTAAACAGGTGTGACTGCTGATGAAACCACGAAGGTTAAAACCGCCCCAGGGTTTACCTCGCTGTTTTCTAACAATGGTCTGGAAGACTCAATGGGTAATGGATTACAAAAAATGTTATTATATTTTTTCACTATTTTTTTTTTACTATAAATATAAGAAATATATCCTGTTTAATAAGGATATGGACAGCCACTGAGGGTGTGACGGATTTTTTTTTTATTCCTGTTGCTCCATGCCCCCTGTACCGTTCCCATGAAGTAGGCATTGATGCCGACTTTTTTGAGGGCCATATTGGCACATAAAATAAAGATGTATTGATGTGTTTTGCATGAATATATATACACACAGGCAATTCATAGCGACATAATGACACAATTGACTCCACCAAATAAATGAGTAGTATATTTTGGAGGCGATAATGAAATGCATTAATAAAAAAAAACTTAAAAAACCCAAAAGTATAGGCATGTCCAAATCTAAATGTTACTTAATAAAATCCCAGCGCATTTAAAAGTTCAATAATTGCAATTATGATGCATTGACCGTGTGCTCAGTGGCTATCAATGGGGCAGTTATCAATTTGTCTTTGTGAAACTTTTATGAGTAAAACGTTTCCTGAAAATGTACCGTTTTACAATTCGTAAAAAAAAATCAAGTCAAACTGGAATTTGTGTTCGGAAAAGATTTCGCTCATAAAGGTAAACGATACGACAGTGAAATTCAAGCAAAAGTGGAAAAATATAACATTAAGACTTGAAGAAACTTGGCCGCTTGTGGTTTATGAACTATTCCAGAGAATAAAAAGTGAACACTCAAGCAAGTATAACATTTTTATAACCCACATTTAATTTCTCGATATGCCGTGTAAAAATATTAAAACACTTCCTCCGATTGAAAAATAAAAGTTATAAATATTTTTAAAAAGCCACGCTTGAATTACTGTACATCGATACAATACAAACTCCCAGTATTCCAATTATTGGAAACCCTCATAAAACATTATCTCATACATATAAAGTCGCAACATACGAACTTGCCTGAATGAGGCTCTCAATCGGTACTTATTGTCAGCTGTGAAATATGGATAAAACACGGGCACTGACAAAGAAAGCGGATTTTTTTCAAAGTTGTTCAATGAAGCACTGAGAGATGCACGCTTGGAATAACACATTCCAGAGAAGGTCAAACGCGTGGATGATGGAACAAGTGCAGTAACATCACATTGGCTGTGATGTCTCGGATGGAAAGTCAGCGGGCTTGGCAAGGCCACGTTATTGGATCTCATGATGGCCGATGGACAAGCCTGGTGATGGAATGACAGCCAAAGTCGGATCCAAGACATGCCTGAAAGGACAGCCACGGTGACGTTGACTACCTCTCCTGCTATAGAGGTTAGGGGTCTGATCAAGTGCCTGACGCCTGTATATTTGGAGTGTGCGTGTTCTCCCCGTGTGTCGCGTGGATTTTTCTCCAGGTCCTCCGATTTCCCCCCTCCACATTTACAAACTCGCGTTTAGAGTATTTGGCTGCTATAAATGTCCACATGATCACCCACTTCGTAGAGATATCCTTTGTGGCCAGATCGCTTCTGAAAAATACCTATATAGCTCAGTGGGCCTTATATGGTAAAATTAAAATAAATAGTTTAGTTAGATAATGTGCAGAAACAAGACGGATTGTGGCATCGCAGAAACCGTGAGGAATAATGTCTCGGCGTGGGCAGGCCTCCATCCAGCAGTGGATCGATTGTCACGTGGTGACTCAAAAACACGGGTCACTATGAGGGCAGACAGCTGCCCCGTACGTGACAATAGCTTCTTCTGAACACGAGAAGTATTTCCCGATCAAAGCAAGCGTTTCTTTTCATACCGTTTATCTTTCTGACACCCGTGAAGGCCGCCACACGCCGGTTCATGGGGGTGGGGGCAGGGCCGGCGAGAACCGGTTCAGATCGCCATGTCCAGGAACGGAAACTCAGGACGCCGGCTTGATAGCGGAGTGCTTATCAACGTCACTCCCACGTTGTGCGCTCAATTGAACTGCTTCCGCTGTGACAATGGGGTGTGTGTTGATGGGGGCCGTACGACGACTACGACGCGACAGCCCCGCTGTGTGAATGCGAGGGAGCCAGGAGACCTGTGCGCACACCGCCGTCTCTCTCGCCTGTGAAGCAGAGGTCGCAACCGGGTACCCGATACCCGTACCCTACCCGATACCCGGCTACCCGTACCCGGCCGGGTACGGGTACCCGTTTGCGCTTGGTGCGGCCGGGTACGGGTACGGGTAGGCCGTGAGTCACTGGTGAGTAACCGTTTGTCACTCATTTCGGGTAGGGAACGGGTACCCATTTGCGACCCTGGTGCAGCCGGGTACGGGTAAGGAATCAAAACCCGTTTGCGACCTCTGCTGTGAAGTCCTTCAGCGCGTGCCGGACGGACTGGTCGCCGTGCACGTGCTGGAGGAGGAGGCCGCGGCTGTCACGTGGCTCTGTGGCTACGTGGGCTGACGTCTGCTGACAGAACGTCCGACACACATATGTGTGAATTTAACACGTAGGCTTTCGCGAACAATATTATTCTTAATATAGGTTTTTGGGTCAGATCGCGTTATTTATAAATGTGTCGTAACCCTCCACCAGCCGACACGGCCAAACAGTAAAAAATGTGTCACGTTTTCAAAGGACAAAATAATTCACTTCTTTAGCCCACCGGTGTGCTGAAGGGAGAATCAACAGCATTAAAAAATTTGAGTACGACGTTTCGCTGATAATTACAATCAGCTTCATCGGGTAAGAATGGTGAAGCTCTCCTGTTGCACATATGTGTATATTTATTATTGTTTATCTGGTGGTCTGTGTGAAAGTCACGTGCAAAATCATTCGCTAAATAAATATATCCATTGTAATTTATATGACTACATTAATCTCCTCCCCTCCCCCTCTGATCTTCGAACACGATTGGCTCACAGTAACGACATCACATTAACCCCTCTATTTAAGACCGAAAACAGGAGGATTTACCCACAATTCTGGCTATCGCCTGATGGGGTTGGATGTAATTACCGGCAAAACATCGTACTCGAATTGTAAATGCCGTCGGGTTTACTCTCCAAACACACCGGTGTGCTGAACTAGTAACTAACTGGCATGTTTTGTTTACGCGACAACCCTTACTACTTGGTTATGTCTAGTATTGGCGGGTTTAACGACGCATTTATATTTAGGCGACACAAGCCAAAACTCTATTATGGAAAATACAAATGTAATATATCTAAGTGAACAACACGCATGTTTGTTTTGTTGTCCTCTGCGACTCCTCGAGTAATGGAGCACTTTGTAATTACTCCGGGCAGAATGGCTGCATCCCGCGATGTTGGAGTCAGATTGCTGGAACGACGTTTGCGAATGCCTCGAATCGTGTCCTCCGTGCAGATGCGGTTCGTGTGCCCGGCGTGATCAGCGGGTGGAAAATCCGCTCAACGGGTTTAATCTCAGCAGAGGGAACACTGGAGTGGGGCGTGGGCGCAGTTTTGAGATTTTTCTAGGGCCCTATTGGGAACTATTGATGGGGGTGGTGGGGGGGGAGGCTTTACCCTTGCACTTCCGTTTACTGGAGTAAATTATTTTCTTTCATAACCGGGCGATAGCCCACTGGGTCTATGCCTAAGCATGAAATAGGTGCATCGATTCAGAGATCCATATTGTTTCTTATGCTCACGATAAAAAAAATATGTAGAATCGTGCGTGTAAAAATCGATTTAGGTTACATGGAAATGCTATGCTAACGTCACATTTATAGTAACGTTGTGAACAGAATTGCACAAACGTGACCGGTGAAGTAAAAACAATACAAACGAGCAAAGACTGAGACAAAAACGAATTGATTTGTAACTTTGCTCCTATCGATGGTTCCATGGTAAATTCGCCAATTTATGGAGGGGCTGTGTTATCTTGGTGTGGTCTGGGACTGTTTTGGTGTTGTTATTGCTGCCATGCCCAAGCTTGATAAATTAGACTTTAAAATATATAAAAATGTTTATTTATATTTCGTGACTTGCTTGCCTGCTTCTCTAATTTGCAATCCTAAAGTTTTTTGTGTTCATCTTCTTCGTTCTTTCGGTGTTGTTTGTTTAGAAACTTGCTGACCCGGCCACGGTGGACATCTGTGAAGAGGAACGTCATAGCTCATCGGATTCCTGCAGGATAAATAAAGATTCTGATTTCTGAATAAAACTGTGAGCAAAAATCGTGATATCTTAACACATAGTCACTGTGGGATGAGGGCTGAATTGCAAGATGTCTACTGTTGTATGTGTTGGTATTATGAAATTTTGATGAAAATAATAAAAATTAATAATTTTCCGAAAAATGCGCAATTCGCATTAATTATGATAGTGTGTGTATTAATACGCATAAATTATGATAATGCGTGTGATTATATGCATAAATTATGATAATCACGGAGATAATCGTAGTAATTTATGCGGAGGCTTGCGATTATGTTAATGTGTGCAGTTATGATAATTTGCTTAGTTTCGTTTATCCAGAGTTATCAATCAGGATAACACGATTATCATAGATTCATTTACCGATTATCCTAGTGTGTGTTATAATATTTTAGGTCTCCATTTTCATATCTCATCGCAGGATACAGCTCTTATGAATAAGATGGTTTTGCATGGACTTGGAAAGAACACTCAATATGCTTCTGTGATAACAATTTTATTCTAACAAGCACGCGACATTCTATCATGCAGGTCAAACATGCGTCAATAATTCATGGGCAAGATTATGCAATTAACTAATATGAACGACAAAAACTTATGCAGTTGTGAAATTATGCAATTATGCAATATGAATAACGAAACTCTTATGCATTTGACTAAAATGAATGAATAAACACTTATGCATTTGTGAAATTATGCAATTATGCAATATGAATAACGAAACTCTTATGCATTTGACTAAAATGAATGAATAAACACTTATGCATTTGCGAGACTATGTATTTAGCTAAATTGAATAACTAAAATTCTTATGCATTTGCGATATTATGCACTAACTAATATGAATAACCAAACTCTTATGCATTTGACTAAAATGAATGAATAAACACTTATGCATTTAACGAACTGAATGACTAAAAACACTTCTATCAATTGTAACCTCTACTTTTCCTACCCGGCATCTCATTAGTTCGCCCCTGTATCGATCACAATCGGCGACTGGTCGAGTTTGAAAACAAGCATGACACACTTCATATGGCGGTAATAAAAAGCACTTATTGTATCCCAGAGGCGAAAGTATATGTCAATAGATTCATCGGCAAGTCTAAAATCCTTTTTAACGGAATGTTTGATACAATGGTGGGTGAGGGCGTGTGGGCGCGAGAGCGAATCTGGCTCTGTTTTAATTAACTCTTCGGCGAGATTCTGGGACAAAGGAAACTGGTTTGACAAGATTTTCTCTGTGTTTTCTTGAGTCTGTATGTGGGGAGCGATACGACCTCTGTTGTTTGTGCGAGCGGCAGCTGAGACTTTCTCCGCTGTGAGGTGAGCGGCGGCGCTCGTTCAGAAGACTTTGACTCTTTTTCTCCACGGCGGGATGACGAGTCGGTTTGGGTTGATGCTGGTCGATCTGGGTGTCGCTCGTTGTCGCTCGGTGTCGCACGGTGGCGCACGGTGGCGCACGTTCAGCGCAAAGTGGTGCACGGTGGCGCACGGTGGCGCAAGGTGGCGCAAGTTGGCGCTCGTTCAGCGATCTCCGCCTTTCCTGCGGGTTGTTCGCTGGTCGTCACTCTGACGAGGAGCGATGCTTCGTTCGTGGCAGGGTGGACGTTGGCGTCTTTGTTGGCTTCACTCGCAGCTCTGCGACTCAGGGTAGCGATTCTTCTCAGGTGGTGCAGACCTCGGCTTGTAGCTACGCGTCGCTACTCCGCGACCCTCGTCATTCTGAATGACAGGAGCTTCTTCGTTGGCGGCGACGAGGAGAGATGGTTGTCGCCCTGGAGAACTCTGGTGGGGCCTTAGCCCGGAGACGAGATGAGATGTAGGCCGGAGCTCGTGAAGATCTGTGGTGGAGCCGAAGATGGGCTCGTAGCCCGGATGATATCTTGTGTTGGAGCCGAAGCCCGGACGATATGTGATGGGGGCCAGAGCCCCTGTCGATCTGCGTTGGAGCCAAAGCCCGGATGATATGCTTTGTATGGATTTTCCTTCGGTTTATATCGGAAACTTCCACTCGGCTTCCCGAGTTGTTCAAAGGCTGTGTCATAAAACCTTCCTGTGGGCTGAACCATCTGCGTCCGTGTGTGTGTCCGTCCGTGTGTTTCGCGTGCGTGTTTGTCCGTGTTGTGGGGAGACAAAGGCGGTTGTTTCCACGGTGGGAGCACCCGGCGCATGCGCTTATTTATTCGAAGACGTGTTTATTTCCTTTGAGCCATTGCCCCTTTTATGGGTGTCATTTCCTAGCTTGGTGCCTGTGTGTGGAGATCCTCTCGGAAAGACAAAGGCGGCCGTGTTGCTCGCTTCCCATGGGTGTTGTGTTTGGTTAATTTTGAGAGCCTTCTCCGCCCTTGATTCCTCTTCTACTTTAATTCCGTACTTATTATTTGACTTCTTGTGATTATTTAATCTGATATCCCGGCTTATCTTTGTTCAGAATATAATTATCTCTTCCTCCGTGTCTCCTGGTTCTGCAACCCCCCGCCTGCAATTCCCCCCCTCCCTTGTTCCTCTTGTGTGAATTTAGGGGAGTTTTTTTTTTTATTACCTTATTGCCCCCCCTGTCATGTCCTCTTTCCTTTGAAATGAGGTATGCGCGCATCTGTGGAAGTGTGGGGGCCTCTGTGGAAGTGTGGGGGCGTGTTCGTTCCCACGTGGCCCCGTGTCTATTAAAAAAACAATATTATATATGATGGCAGAATAAGCCTTAAAAAAAATAATATTAAAAAAAAAATAAAAAGGGGGTACATACACAACAGTCCGCCCGTTTGAAAATTATCAGGGGTCGATTTGGCCACTGGCGAATTTTCAAACAAAGTAATGCCCCCTTTTTATGTCATGAATCCCATCAGCCGCCCTTACTCTCGGCGGTTATTTCTTACGACGCGCGTGCACGTATTACCATCTTAACCTGGTTACATCTGAAATAAGCAAAGAAAATAAACAACACGTTAACATCGATATTGCGTTACATCGGTTCTCATACATCATAACTCCGGCGAATATTAATTTTTGTTTTTGTTAAATCCTGGTTACATTTGAATTAAGCAAAGAAAATAACAACCCGTTAACATCGATATTGCGTTACATCGGTTCTCATACATCATAACTCTGACGAACATTCATTTTTGTTTTGTTAAATCCTGGGAAACGCTAGGTAGCGGTTTCGAACGCATTTATGCGTTACCTTCCTCATGTTGCCTGGTTTACCACTTATCACTTTGATAATTTGATCACGGTTTTCGGGTTCGTTTTTGTAGTTTCCTCTCTCACTCTCTCGCGTCGTGGGAGTGTGTGGTGAAAAATTGTGCTGCACGTAACCAGAATTCGCGCACACGACCCATTTTGACACTTGGTTCGTGGCATTCGCTCTCTCTGCGATTACATGCACATTTGCCGAGTCAGTGTGTCGACTTAATTCTGTGCCTCGTAATGTTGCCCTCTTTGTTTTTACGAGTGTGTTAGATTCCAACACCATTCCTGATATGTCATGAACATTCGTCTCCATTTTAGCACTCCGATCCACATACATTTTGGTTTCCCTTGGATATTTTCCATTCAAAGGCTCACGCCTGCGCTCCTCAGGGCGTGTCTCTGTGTTCTCTCTTTGTCTCTGCTGTCTGCTATCCACCGTCCGATCACACTTCAATTCAGCCCTGTCACTTGCAGCCTGCTCAGGGTTTAACACCTCGGCGGGTGGGGCGCGTGTTGGCCGCTCGCTCGCACTCACTGTGGATGGTTCATCACGTATTTGGACCGCATTCTGTGTTATTCCTCTATTCCCTCTTGGTATAGCCGGTGGAGGAATTGGTCGGAATTGGATCGATTGTGTTTGACCTCCCATCCTGCGATTCTCCTGAATGTTCGCATCCATACCTCCGCGGTCTGTGTAACACCTTCCCGCTAGGTGGTTATCTTGCCATCTCTGTGCGTAATTTGAACCTTGCGTGTGTCGTGGGATGGGGTGTTGATATGGTTCTGCTCTGAACCTCTCCCTCCTGCGATTCTCGTACATTTTTAGCCCAGTATTTCTCCCATTTGGGTGCCAAATTTTTCCTGGATTGTTACCTCGCCATCTTTGTGGGTAATTTTGATCTTGTGTGTGTCGTGGCATGGGGTGTTGGTATGGTTCTATTCTGAACCTCCCCCTCCTGCGATTCTCCTGAATGTTCGGCTTTGTGCCGCTCTCATTCTCGTGCCAACCTCTCTCTGGGTTATTTTGCCATGTGTGCGTGCGTTTCTGCTCCGTCCTGCATGGTGGGACTGCTCGGTGATTTTTATTCCTCTCTGAGAGGCTGGGTTCCTCATCCCTCTCCCTGTGTTCTGGATCCGAATTATGATTCTTAGCTCTGTATAACCATGCCATGTACGCCTTGCTCTCTATGCGGCGTAAGGATGCGGTTTCTGGATTCAAAACCATTCTCACCCTTTCTGTAATCTCTGGGCTCAAGGATTCAAAAAACATAATTTTGAACATTTTATCTCCTTCGTGGTATTGATTCACATCGCCTGCGTAATACGCTCTTTTAAATTGGACGAGGTAGTCACGTGGATCTTGGTCCATGCCCTGGGTCATCGATTTTACAGCATAAAACCCCTCCGTGAGTGTCGAATATTCTCCAAACTTCCGAATCACTGCCAGGCTCAGTTGTTTAAAATCATTTCTAACCTTGTGTGGTAGTGACTTTACCCATGGAATAGATTCTTTATGTAAGGTCCGTTTCAACAAACTCGCTTTTTCATCCCGTCTCCTCAGCCCTCTAATCATTGCCTCCTCTTCTACGGTTGCGATATGTGTGTGGATATCCATAGTCTTATTGTGGGGGTCAAAATCGGGAATTCTGACTAGAGCCTTGTCCATCAATTTAAGGGTTTTACTGTTGAATAGGTATTCCGAAAGTTGATTGCCGACAGCGTCATCATCAAACAAGTTATCATCAGGCAATCTGTCACTTTGGTCTGTGCTGTGTCGCTTGTGTTTAAGTGGTGTGCATTTTCTGTGTGCGCGCCCAGTGCCGTGTCGCTCGTGTTGCCATTTCCCTTCAGTTTTTGCCTCTGCCCTTAGTGGAGCATGTCCTGTCGACTTTACTTTAACATTTTTCCTCCCTCTATCTGTGAAGTTGTCAGTCTCACATGTTTTTGTTTGCATATGTATCTCTCCATCCCTTCTCTCGAATTGTGAGGGTTTCCCTTTATCAAGGATTTTTTGTTCGATATCCATAATTTTTGTGCGATTGGTCCCTGGACTCTGTCCACGTACCCAAGAGTGTGATTTAATGTTACTTCCATATTTATTCTGGGGATCAACGTCTGTGAGTTTCGCTGGTGTCGCGAGCACTGATTTCTCTCCCGTTTCCTTTCCAAATTTTCCCTCATTCCACAATCCCTGTCTGTATGCCTGTGTGAGAAGGCATGAGTCCTGTCCTGCCTTCTCTGCAGTTTTTGCATCGTGTTCGCCTTCGTTACATTTTATCCAGTCAATTAGTTTCCCCCGAGGTGTGTTCGTGTTATCGATACAGCTCCCTTCCCATATGTCTCTCTGACTGTACTGCTTTGTAACAGATTGGTCGGTACGTTTAAATACGAGCTCCCCGTATCCCGTAACCCATTCAAAAATTATTCTCAATCCTAGCATCTTAGGTATGGCGGAAGTTACTTTGACATTTCTTTTCAGAGTGCATATAAAACAATTATCTCACAGAGTGTAGTCAATTTGACTCGAGCTATCTGTTATTTTCCGATTCAGAGTGCGTACCTCTAACACCATTTATCAGAGGATGCAATTGGTTTGATACGATATTATCTTAATTCCACTGTCTCTGTTTTAACCTGCTATTCTGGGTTTTAACCTTAGAGGGCGTTTTTTTGTTTTCCGCCCGTTCACAATCACCATGCAATGTTCGATCCTGATATTCTGGTTAACACGAAGTGATTCATTCCATCATCCATGCAAAACACTGTCTGCGAGAGATCCCGGACGGGCCACCCATTATGTTGTATGTGTTGGTATTATGAAATTTTGATGAAAATAATAAAAATTAATAATTTTCCGAAAAATGCGCAATTCGCATTAATTATGATAGTGTGTGTATTAATACGCATAAATTATGATAATGCGTGTGATTATATGCATAAATTATGATAATCACGGAGATAATCGTAGTAATTTATGCGGAGGCTTGCGATTATGTTAATGTGTGCAGTTATGATAATTTGCTTAGTTTCGTTTATCCAGAGTTATCAATCAGGATAACACGATTATCATAGATTCATTTACCGATTATCCTAGTGTGTGTTATAATATTTTAGGTCTCCATTTTCATATCTCATCGCAGGATACAGCTCTTATGAATAAGATGGTTTTGCATGGACTTGGAAAGAACACTCAATATGCTTCTGTGATAACAATTTTATTCTAACAAGCACGCGACATTCTATCATGCAGGTCAAACATGCGTCAATAATTCATGGGCAAGATTATGCAATTAACTAATATGAACGACAAAAACTTATGCAGTTGTGAAATTATGCAATTATGCAATATGAATAACGAAACTCTTATGCATTTGACTAAAATGAATGAATAAACACTTATGCATTTGTGAAATTATGCAATTATGCAATATGAATAACGAAACTCTTATGCATTTGACTAAAATGAATGAATAAACACTTATGCATTTGCGAGACTATGTATTTAGCTAAATTGAATAACTAAAATTCTTATGCATTTGCGATATTATGCACTAACTAATATGAATAACCAAACTCTTATGCATTTGACTAAAATGAATGAATAAACACTTATGCATTTAACGAACTGAATGACTAAAAACACTTCTATCAATTGTAACCTCTACTTTTCCTACCCGGCATCTCATTAGTTCGCCCCTGTATCGATCACAATCGGCGACTGGTCGAGTTTGAAAACAAGCATGACACACTTCATATGGCGGTAATAAAAAGCACTTATTGTATCCCAGAGGCGAAAGTATATGTCAATAGATTCATCGGCAAGTCTAAAATCCTTTTTAACGGAATGTTTGATACAATGGTGGGTGAGGGCGTGTGGGCGCGAGAGCGAATCTGGCTCTGTTTTAATTAACTCTTCGGCGAGATTCTGGGACAAAGGAAACTGGTTTGACAAGATTTTCTCTGTGTTTTCTTGAGTCTGTATGTGGGGAGCGATACGACCTCTGTTGTTTGTGCGAGCGGCAGCTGAGACTTTCTCCGCTGTGAGGTGAGCGGCGGCGCTCGTTCAGAAGACTTTGACTCTTTTTCTCCACGGCGGGATGACGAGTCGGTTTGGGTTGATGCTGGTCGATCTGGGTGTCGCTCGTTGTCGCTCGGTGTCGCACGGTGGCGCACGGTGGCGCACGTTCAGCGCAAAGTGGTGCACGGTGGCGCACGGTGGCGCAAGGTGGCGCAAGTTGGCGCTCGTTCAGCGATCTCCGCCTTTCCTGCGGGTTGTTCGCTGGTCGTCACTCTGACGAGGAGCGATGCTTCGTTCGTGGCAGGGTGGACGTTGGCGTCTTTGTTGGCTTCACTCGCAGCTCTGCGACTCAGGGTAGCGATTCTTCTCAGGTGGTGCAGACCTCGGCTTGTAGCTACGCGTCGCTACTCCGCGACCCTCGTCATTCTGAATGACAGGAGCTTCTTCGTTGGCGGCGACGAGGAGAGATGGTTGTCGCCCTGGAGAACTCTGGTGGGGCCTTAGCCCGGAGACGAGATGAGATGTAGGCCGGAGCTCGTGAAGATCTGTGGTGGAGCCGAAGATGGGCTCGTAGCCCGGATGATATGTGTGTTGGAGCCGAAGCCCGGACGATATCTGTGATGGGGGCCAGAGCCCCTGACGATCTCTGTGATGGGGGCCAGAGCCCCTGACGATCTGCTGTTGTATGGATTTTCCTTCGGTTTATATCGGAAAATTCCACTCGGGCTTCCCGAGTTGTTCAAAGCTGTGTCATAAAACCTTCCTGTGGGGGCTGGACCATCTGCGTCCGTGTGTGTGTCCGTCCGTGTGTTTCGCGTGCGTGTTTGTCCGTGTGTTTCGCGTGCGTGTTTGTCCGTGTTGTGGGGAGACAAAGGCGGTTGTTTCCACGGTGGGAGCACCCGGCGCATGCGCTTATTTATTCGAAGACGTGTTAATTTCCTTTGAGCCATTGCCCCCTTTATGGGTGTCATTTCCTAGCTTTGTGCCTGCGTGTGGAGATCCTCTCGGAAAGACAAAGGCGGCCGTGTTGCTCGCTTCCCATGGGTTGTTGTGTTTGGTTAATTTTGAGAGCCTTCTCCGCCCTTGATTCCTCTTCTACTTTAATTCCGTACTTATTATTTGACTTCTTGTGATTATTTAATCTGATATCCCGGCTTATCTTTGTTCAGAATATAATTATCTCTTCCTCCGTGTCTCCTGGTTCTGCAACCCCCCGCCTGCAATTCCCCCCCTCCCTTGTTCCTCTTGTGTGAATTTAGGGGAGTTTTTTTTTTATTACCTTATTGCCCCCCCTGTCATGTCCTCTTTCCTTTGAAATGAGGTATGCGCGCATCTGTGGAAGTGTGGGGGCCTCTGTGGAAGTGTGGGGGCGTGTTCGTTCCCACGTGGCCCCGTGTCTATTAAAAAAACAATATTATATATGATGGCAGAATAAGCCTTAAAAAAAATAATATTAAAAAAAAAATAAAAAGGGGGTACATACACAACACTACGTGCCGGACAATAATATATTTTTTATATACATAACATGTACAATAAGAATAAATAGTGCAAAGCTCTTGTAAGCTTGCCTCTTTACCTTTGCTGAATTCACATCAGCAAATGTATCCGCTACAAAATCAACTAGTTCATTAGATGTTATTGTCACAAGGGCTATGCTTTCCTTTGCACCGGCTTGCTTTAATGAGGCAGAACAACGCAGTGTCCAGGCACATTGCCAGACGGACAATGTTCCCTCTGAAAATCCCTTCGAAGAGAAACACATGCATCGAAAGCTTTCATTGAAAATTGTGAATTGTATAAAATTTAAAATATAATGTACAGCTCTTTGTCAATCCACTGCTGGATGAAGGCCTCTCCATTCCGTGTTAGTCATGAGGGTTGCTTGACCGTACTTCACCGCACTGGTCAGTGCGTGTTGCACATCATTGCCCCACATTTATTGACTTCACAAGCTGGTAATTGAACTACCCATTAGTGAATCCATGCCAGCCCACCTACGAGTTAATCATTTGCAGCTCTTTGTCAAGCCACTTCTGGATGAATACTTCCCCACATCCGCTTGACCATACTTCACCACACTGGTCAGCACGGGGGGCCAATTCAGATATCACTCGCAACTGACGTTAGCCATGGCCGGGAATCAAATCCAAGATTGTCAGCTTCGTAGCGCAGTGCGCTAGCCACCGCGCTACCACCCTCCCCCAGCCCCCCGCATTCACAATCACCCATTACTTAATCCATCCTTGCACATCGCTCAAAATGCGGCAACTCGTGGCAACGGGTTTGTGGATTGGGGAAAACTCTCGCAAAGAGTGGCCTCCAAAGCTTAAGGGAGGCAATAAAACGTTTAAAAAAAGAAAAGAAAATTCCTTTCTTATGCTGTGAAATGAAGGACCCGAAGCCTTTTCGACAGGAATATGACGGCGAGATGATTTCAGATCTCGTTGCTCGACAGATCGATACGGCTGGAACAATAAGGGTTATCGATCATACCGGGTGGCTCAATAACGTCATAACAGTTTTATTAAAGCGAGCCTGATGTTTGGAAACAATATTTACTGTTGATGGAGGCTGTCAGACGGCACAAATTTACTACAGTTGCACTTTAACCTATCCTAAGCACGCGATAAAGGTTAGCTCAAAGTCCAGGATGCAGTGTTATTAAAAATAATTGCTTCATGCTTTAACACCCGTTATTCTATCGCACGTAATAATCGCAGCACTAAATTGCATAAGGGCCACGTATTGCGTATTCCAAAGCACAAACATTGTGTTTTGCAGAAAAACGTAGAACTTCGTTTGATAACAAGTTGGTTACTGCAGATATTATAACCCATATATGACTACAGCACAGCTAATTTAAGTTCCAGTGGCTGTTTTGATTAAACAAGGCAGCCACGCGGCACGGCTTTGGGTGTTTCTAGCACGTCTCCTTGGATATTCGATAAGTTCCTTTGGCTCAAATCTGTAAATGAGAAAACAAAACATATTGAACAATGCTCAAAGGTGTGCACTGTGTGCACAACAGGCTCTCAGTGTAAGCATTCGAAGAGAAAAAAACACCAGTTCCTGAAGAACTACAATCATGTCATCATGTCTTAAGTTACCATCGATAAATTAAGCAAATGTGACCAACCAAAATACAGCAGTGAGACAGAGAGACAAACGTAGACCGATTTAAAGCTTTCGTGACTGCAGGGATTCATATTCTTGGTTATTTCGGTAAAGTCTACGTGACTTTACCGAAAGAACCAAGAATATAAACGCAGACCGGTTTCATACATATTAAGACTGATCAGTACGGCGGTCACAAATGTTCACTGCTGCAAAGTCTGCCTCCGCTGCAGCCTACCGGTTTGTCAAAAAAAAATCCAAATGTATTGACGGTTACTTAAGACAAGATACTGTAATCCCAATGCAGCTCATCGGGAACTGGCGGCTTTACATAATATTGAAGGCCGAGGGCATTGAGTTACACACAGGTGCACGTTGTTGTGCATTGTTGAAACTTTTTAGTTTGGCTGTCGGGACCTTTGGCATCGACACTAAAAAAAAAACCGATGCGCATTAAGTGACACACCTCGCGCTAATTGCTTCCCGCGCGCCACCGTCACTGTTATGTAACTCCGCAACGCCGCTAATGATTGTTTCGCATTATGCAACTGGAATGTTCTCATCTTAATTGGCCCATTGCGTGAAATTTTATTTTTAAATCGCGGAAAGAAAAAGAAACCGACGCGTGCTTGTGATTTTAATGAACGCATGTTACAAATAAAAGGTCAGGAGCTTTCGTCCGATATAAGCCGTACGTTTACGGACGACACGTGATAAAGATGTACATGAACAGCAGAAGCTGCATTATAAGCACACCACCTGCTCGCAATGCCAGCTGTGCTTATACCAGAAGTAGTGTGCGTGCATAAGAAGTTGCCCTTTGTCTTTTCCCCCAGCTGTCTAATGTAACCATGCTGTGCTCATATTCCAGCTGTGCTTATATTAGGTGTGCTTATATGCAGCTTCTTCTCTATGTGACATGACCGAATATGTAATTACAGTATCTCCCTATGGGAGAAACGTAAACGGGGCACGCATCAGCAAGAATGTGCCTATCGCATTACGCAGAAACGTGTTAGTGCTCCACCAAACAAGGAGTAGAGAAAAATATTACTCTAATTAGATAGCTTTCCTTTGTTTATAACCAGGTGGATTAGCGACCATGCGCAAGTTGGAGACATCGCAATGACTGAAGTGGGCTTGGGCAGGACGTGTCGCCAGGAGGGGTAAACGGCCGGTGGTCAAGACGAACAAATGGGTGGCAGCCAAAATCGGGAACGCACTCGAAAGTACAACCGACGCGTAAGATGGAGTAATGATTGTTGGATCGCATCCAGGAGAGATGGCGGTGGCTCCGGCAGTGGACAGTTCAAGGCTGATATTGATGGAAGACAAACTGAGATGTGTTTCCTTTGAAAGGATTAAATGTTGTGGTGAAAGAAAAAAAACTTGCGCAAAAATATTTCACAGTGGGGAATGTTTTTTTTTGTAGAACTGGACACAAAACAATACACGTGAATAAACCGTCAGAAAATACATCCAAGCCAGTATCTTCCGTGTCAAGCCATCAACGCCTGCTACTGTCATGAAACAGAACACTTTTCACGAATGCAAAGTCTCGTTGTGTTGAAAATAAAAGAATACAATCTAACAATTAATCTGGCAACACGAGTTCAATTGCTGGTCACGGCTAACATCAATGGCAAGAGATATCTGAACCGGTCTGGGGCCACCCCTTCACCAGCCCGCACCGACGTGCATGGTAAAGTATGGTCAAACCCAAATAGCCGGCACACCGTGTGGGACCCCTTTCATCCAGCAGAGGGATTGACAAAGGGCTATAAACTATAATTATTAGTTCAATAATGCAGGATGAGACTAAAATGATTATACTTTAAATAAAGACAGTAAATCACAGGACCCAGAAAACTAAAACGTGTGCATATATGGAAACCATTAAGGGATAACAATTACAATTTGAACCTGTTAAGGGAGATAACTTAACATTTTACGACCATAGCAAGGGTACCTTAACATTAGCGCCTTATGCTGCTGCATAAACACATGTATTTAAATTAAAGAATGGATGCATTAATAATGAGTAAGGCAGACACTGCTGTTTTGATATTCCAATGCATATATATTTGATGAAACATAGTGATTAGAGTGATTGCGCAGCAGTTAGCGTGCCAAGCTAAGAATCCAGCGAAGTGAGTTTGAATACCGGGCCATGGTTAACATGTGGTGAGCAATACCAAAACCTGGGCCCTGTCCCACATTCTGCCAACCTACACAGACCAGCGTGGTGACATATGGTGACACAAATCTGACTGACATGGCCTTCATCCGGCAGTAGATTGACAAAAACGGAATGTAAATGGCTGTGGAAAAAAATCAACACAGTACCTGCATAGTAATATCACGGACAGGAAGGAAATGTACTGAAAAATGTTTGAAGGAATACATACAAATAAATCGGTAAACATTGATTCACAAGGTGAACGCAGTTAACTGAATTCTCCAAAATTTTAGATGAAATTGAAAAACTGAAAAAACACAGGTCATCTATTTGATCACATTGGCATTAGATTCTGAAACGGTTAAGGTCACATTAAAATAAATAACCACAAATACCCCGTTACAAATTGATTTGTGGCCAGATCGCTCCAGAATGATTTTGATGCCTATAAATAATTTTACTCCAACGATTAGTTTTCCAACAATTAGTGCCGTCTCTGGGACACTGTGTTACTTGGCACATTCAAACGCGTTTTTTCAGGGGTTTTTCTTCCTCCAAAAAGGGTGCATTATAACTTTCTGGCTCTTGAACACGGCTTAATTACGAAGCCACCAAAAGCACCAAACACACACACACCACGTATTGTCCTAAAAGTCACCGCAGCCTTAATTTGCGTTTGGCATTTCACAAATGCTAATGAGATCGCACATTTGGCAAAAGTACTTAGTCACGGTGTCACTTGTACCCAAACAAAGGCTGACAGCAAAGGAAATCTGAATTGGCTTCGTCTCCAGACCCAACATCTGTTCCATGAGTGTTTTTTTGTTTTTCTGACAATGACCTGCTCAAAAGAGGTCCAGTGAGTGTCCACTGAATATGCGCAATCTCATTAGATCTGAGAAGCTGTGCAGGGCTGAGTCTGCCTAGCGTTTGGATGGGCAAATACCAAAAGTTGAGCCAGGTATTGTCGGGGTGGTGGGATTGTGAGGCAGAGGTCGCAAACGGGTTTTGATTCCTTACCCGTACCCGTACCCGGCCGCATCAGGGTCGCAAATGGGTACCCGTACCCGGCCGGGTACGGGTAGCCGGGTATCGGGTAGGGTACGGGTATCGGGTACCCGGTTGCGACCTCTGTTGTGAGGTGGCCAGAAAGCAGTGCTGAGTATGCCTGGGTTGTCTCCAGGGACTCTGTTTTCCTCTCAAACGCCAAACATATCAATGCAGGACCCTCCTATAAAAACTCAATTATTGAGGCTCAGTGCGGCACTATTTGGGTAAATAAGGGGCATTATTATGATTGGACATCTTAGCCAGTTTTAGAAATGTTGTTTTCACACACAATTGTTTAAAAAAATATCGGTGACTGCATGTAACACTGAGTTGCAGTGTGAGTTATAATTTCCAGAAACGGATGAGAACCAAAATACGTGAACTTTAAATTCAGACGATGCTGCCGATGATGCTGCTGCTGAACTGCTTTTGTGATGTGTGTTGTGCTTCCCCCGCACGTCCGATTAGCACGGTTGGTGATGTAAGGTGCGAAAGTTCAAAATACATAAATCACAGTCGGTGCTGGTTAAAAGCCACACATACCGCAAACATTTATGCAATACATTTTGGCAGGACTCCTGCTTTCACAGTGAAAATCCTCAACTTTATTTTTTACATTTTAATTTGGACTTGAAAGAAAGTACTGTATGGGTATCAGTTGCTGAAATCCACGTAAGTTCACATTTTTATGGCACCAATTCAACATCCAATTTTAAATCTAAAGGAGTACATAGGAATATGTTCACCCACGTTGTGTCACGTAATCAGCCACGAACTCCTGAGGACTTTGCTTTTCAGATTTTATGAGAAGTCGCATCTGTCTCGTCAAAATATGGCACAGGCTTATCGCAGCCTTGATAAAAACTTACCAGGTGACGTGGACACACAATGCCATGTCATCACGTAACGTAACATCATTGCACCGAGAGAAATGGTGGTGGAGTTGTGGCACAGTGGCTAGTCCATTGCACTATGAAGCCAGAAAGCTAAGTTAAGATCCACACCACCTTCACCAAGCTACACTCACAAGCCTGCTAAAGTATGGTCAAACAACTCCCATGACAACAAACTTAACACAAAAAGCAGTTCTAAAGGAGTCTAACGCCTGGACAGACTCCACACCTGTGGATACATTTTAGTTGTATTAATAATGGCAATGTTGTACAGTATTGTGCAATCTTCTTGTTTTTTTCGGTAAAGTCACGTAGAATGGAAATAATAAAATAATAAAAATAAAACATAATAATTCTCACGACGTTTCGGCCACAATGCAAGCAGCCGTCCTCAGGTGGAGAGCAGGTCTGTCGAGTAGACAGTCTGAACGCAACTTTACGATGTTACAAAACTCTTGACATGACTCACATCACAGGAGTCAAACTGCCATATTCCCAGCGTTCTCCCACCACTTTACAATACCACCATTACAAGGGCCACTTCTCCACATTAGCTAACCCAAGACATCTGTATCTCTCAAATGGCTTAAATGGCATCGTTAACAATGTGAGTTAAACCCGGGTAAAGCTTGGAGAGCTGAATGGAGTTCAGAATTAATCTAGATTTGAAGTATTCGTGACTGCAGGGATCCATACTCGTTGGTTCTTTCGGTAAAGTCACGTAGGTACCTAGGGGTGTAGTGGTGGCGCTTGTTAAAGCAAGCACACTGATCGACCTGAGTTCGATTCTGGATCAAGGCTAACATCAGTGGTGACATCGAAACCGGTGTATGCGCTACCGTAGCGGTCTCACACAAGCTGACCATCGTTGTGAAGTGTGGTCAAAATACACGGGCCCCAATCAAACAGTGGTCGGAACCCGCCCTACTGACGGGTTAACCCCTCCGTACACTTCATATTCCTAGGTCAAGTCAATAAATGTGTCGTATAATACAGCAGGCAAAACACTCGTGACCATAATTAAACATTTGTTTAAGGTTCAAGACTCGGCACCACCGCCCCCACTCCCCTAAACATGGTCACGCTGCACGGTTCTTTGCGTAAAGTTCGCATTTATATAAATATGACAGTGAGAAAATAACAAATTGTAGAATTCTGAGTACAAAGACAAAGATCCCCCCGTGTAACCTTAACAGACTGTTTGGGCCAATGCGGTTAGCGAGCACCTATGAAGGCCGGCACGACACAAGAGGGGGTGGGTGGCCATCACCACGCCCGGCCACCTTTGTCTCATTGTGAGGCTGAGTCGACCTCGGGCCGGCCCAGGACCGGTTCAGATAATGGCAAAAAAATGTTTGTATTAGCCGTGAGCGGGAATCGAACCCGGGTCGCCAGGTTCGTAGCGCAGCGCGCCACCCGGTACTCTACCTCCCCCTCGACCCCCTCCCCCTCGACCCCCCTCCCCCTCGACCCCCCTGCCCCTCGACCCCCCGCCCCCTCGACCCCCACCCCCTCGACCCCTACCCCCTCGACCCCACCCCCTCGACCCCCTCCCCCTCGACCCCCTCCCCCTCGACCCCCTCCACCTCGGCCCCCTCCCCCTCGGCCCCCTCCCCCTCGACCCCCCTCCCCCTCGACCCCCCTCCCCCTCGACCCCCTTCCCCCTCGACCCCCCCCCTCGACCCCCCTCCCCCTCGACCCCCACCCCCTCGACCCCCCGCCCCCTCGACCCCCCGCCCCCTCGACCCCCCGCCCCCTCGACCCCCACCCCCTCGACCCCCCCTCCCCCTCGACCCCCCTCCCCCTCGACCCCCTTCCCCCTCGACCCCCCGCCCCCTCGACCCCCACCCCCTCGACCCCCCTCCCCCTCGACCTCCTCCCCTTCGACCCCCCTCCCCCTCGTTCCCCTCCCCCTCGACCCCCCTCCCCCTCGACCCCTCCCCCTCGTCCCCCTCCCCCTCGACCCCCGCCCCCTCGACCCCCTCCCCCTCCCCCTCAACCCCTCCCCCTCAACCCCCTCCACCCCTTCCCCCTCGACCCCCTCCCCCTCGACCCCCCTCCCCCTCGACCCCCTCCCCCTCGACCCCTCCCCCTCGACCCCCTCCCCCTCCACCCCCTCCACCCCCTCCCCCTCGACCCCCCTCGACCCCCCTCCCCCTCCACCCCCTCCCCCTCGACCCCCTCCCCCTCGACCCCCCTCCCCCTCGACCCCCCTCCCCCTCGACCCCCACCCCCTCGACCCCCACCCCCTCGACCCCCCCCCCCTCGACCCCCTCCCCCTCGTCCCCCTCCCCCTCGACCCCCCGCCCCCTCGACCCCCTCCCCCTCGACCCCCACCCCCTCGACCCCCTCCCCCTCGACCCCCTCCCCCTCGACCCCCTCCCCCTCCCCCTCCACCCCCCGCCCCCTCGTCCCCCTCCCCCTCGACCCCCCGCCCCCTCGACCCCCTCCCCCTCGACCCCACCCCCTCGACCCCCTCCCCCTCCACCCCCCTCCCCCTCGACCCCCTCCCCCTCGACCCCCTCCCCCTCGACCCCCTCCCCCTCGTCCCCCTCCCCCTCGACCCCCCGCCCCCTCGACCCCCTCCCCCTCGACCCCACCCCCTCGACCCCCCTCCCCCTCGACCCCCTCTCCCTCGACCCCCTCCCCCTCGACCCCCTCCCCCTCGACCCCTCCCCCTCGTTCCCCTCCCCCTCGACCCCCCTCCCCCTCGACCCCCTCCCCCTCCACCCCCTCCCCCTCGACCCCCTCCCCCTCGACCCTCCCCCTCGTTCCCCTCCCACTCGTCCCCCTCCCCCTCGACCCCCCTCCACCTCGACCCCCCTCCCCCTCGACCCCCCCTCCCCCTCGACCCCCCTCGACCCTCCCTCTCGACCCCCCTCGACCCTCCCTCTCGACCCCCTCCCCCTCGACCCCCCACCCCCTCGACCCCCTCCCCCTCGACCCCCCTCCCCCTCGACCCCCTCCCCCTCGACCCCCCTCCCCCTCGACCCCCCTCCCCCTCGACCCCCCTCCCCCTCGACCCCCCTCCCCCTCGACCCCCCCTCCCCCTCACCCCCCTCCCCCTCGACCCCTCCCCCTCGACCCCCTCCCCCTCGACCTCCTCCCCCTCGACCCCCCTCCCCCTCGACCCTCTCCCCCTCGACCCCCTCCCCCAACCATTGCGCGACGCAGCCGCCCACGCGTCCCCCACCACCGAGTGTAACAAGTGAAGACCCTACCGTCGGAAGTGACGTCGGCCGTTTCTTTTGTTTCTTCTGAAAAAAACAACAAAGTAAAGGTTACATTTAATATTATATTTACAACATGGTTAGCAAACGTCTCTTAGAATAGCGGCTAAAAATAAAAAATAAAATTAGAAATCATAAAAAAATATATCTTCCGTGAGCGTTGCCGGAAGTGACGTCACCGAGGACGAGGCCCGCCTGACGTCGCTTCGTCTTTTATTTCCCAGCGTCGACAATTTTTTTTAATTATTATTAATATTATTTAAACTTACCACAATCTAGCAACGAAAAGCACCCCAGCAATGGAAGCGAACAGCGTGCCCGATGAAAAAGCCGTCGAGTACATGGTGCGTATGAAAATAACAACCAACGGTGAAATAAAGAGAGGCGTTAATCTTCCCGAGCGGAGCGGATTCTTCTGTGGTTGAGGCCTACCGCAGGCTCCATAGGCCCCGGGCGTCACCGTTCGCTTAACATTGGCCCCGCTGATCGTTATTAAGTAGACATAGCCATCAATTAGCGCGCTCGTAATCATCACGATTGTTTAAAGGATGTCGTGATGATGTCTGCGGCGCTGTCACGTCTTTTCTTGGCGGGGGAGTTGTGTTCGCTTGCTGAGGTAATTAAGGGCGCGGGGGATGAAGCTGCGGCGTCATTGTGCTCGGTGTGGTTGTAATTGGATTTAAGCGCTCGCCACGGCCCGTTGTGTCGGGGCTGCTCACGAGTGAAATCACGATGGACGGTGATGTCGATGTTGGTGGTTGCCGTTTTGTGGCGACCGCCGTCGCATCGCGCCGCTGATGTGGTCGCATCGCTTATGGCCCCATACGGGCGTAATGCCGCATAGAGACGTCACATCGCGGTGTGCGACGTGGTAATCAACATCGCACACCGCGCGGGTAACATACGTGATTGTATCAGTGTATACCATGTCACAGTTGGTATCATAATTTCAGAAACATCACGGATGTCGTGTCACATTTGATGTCACGCCACGGCTTTCGTAATTTCGCATGTCAATACATTCGCAGCCGTCCTGTCGTTGATCACAGATACATCAAGTACATCATGTCACAGAGTTGGGATGATATCAGTAACATCACGAATGTTATGTCACATTCATGTTGTCATTACACCACTGCGATCACAATTACAGATGTCCACCTTTATGTCATCAACACATTGTTGTCACTGCCATTGCCACATTTGATTATCATGACGAACATGATTGATGTTATGGTCACTTTACAGAATCACAGATATTAAGTCTAATTGATCTCGTCTAACCACATACATACAATGTCACATTGATGTCAAAGCCATTGGACATATGTCATTTCATGTTTTTGTCACACCACTGACATCACATCTCATGATAAGTTGGGGTGGCCATCAAACGGCTTGCATCACATTGAGGGGTGTGATTATAACATCTTAGACATATCACAATTGTCATAACAGACATCATATAACATTGACAGATGCGATCTTTACATCTTTGACTTTACATCACATAGTTATGGTAATCAGATCACAGATTATATCACTTTGACAGATGTGGTAATCTCTTAATATGTATTATAACTTTGACAGGTTCTGATCACAAAAAGGCATCCGCTTCGTGTGCTGACAAATGTGACCAAGAATCATCACACCACATACAGACATCACACACAACATAACTCTATCCACCCGTTCTTCGCGCGAATTGGAATAGTTTGTATCGGATGGGGTTCGAAACATTTCGATAACGACATACAGTTTATCACAGTTTCTCATTAACCGTACTCGTTTGTTTGATATATAATGATAGGGCTTAATGAAAAAGTGTGCGACAGTATTCATACGGAAAGCTGGTACTTGAGAGTGATTAATAAACAAGGGGTTGCGATTGTATTTGCTACTTCACAAACTACTTTTTTTACACTTCCTGGTATAGGCCCGACAGTGACGCATTTCGTTGTGAGGCATGTCGTAAGTGTAAACGCGTTGCCGACATTTCTTCAAACAATAGACGCATGCTATAGTGAACATCTAACAGAAACCTTTAAAATTGAAAGGTGACCTTTAAGTACCCATTATTTTATAATTTTTCGCGATCAACTCTAGTAAATGGTTTAGTTATAGGTGGGGGATGAAGTTTTCCCGGCAATTTGCATTGTGTACACTGCAGACGAGATTTCAACAGCATGTGGTTGAACACTTCCTCTTGTGGTGACATTTTGAAACATTAGAAAATAAACTCAATTGTAGTTGGTTAAAATTGAAAGTGACTTGAGTGCTTCTTTAAGTTGAATAATGTACGTTTATGGGAATCTATCTGGAGTGGTCACTAAGAGTAAAATGCCATGGATATCTTAGTGATAATAGAGTGTTGAGTAGTTTTTGTGAATTTTATTGACAGAAATACTGTCTCCAGTTACCCCATTCAAATGTTTTCTGGAAAAATATCATTTATGGGTTAAGTTTTATACTACAGTTTTTCTACAAGAGGAATTTATGTCATACCCACCCCTGTCCAATGCAGTTATATAAACATAACTCCCGAGCATGGAGTTATGTTTATTACACTCAACAGGACACTTTCAGTGACCTTCAGGGATTGATCTGAAAATGTAATATGGCATATAGAGTTAGCAATTGTGGAAACATTTTCCTTATGCAATTTTTTTTTATGTGTAGCAGATTGCTTTAGAAATAAAACACAGGTCTTGGTGTAACTGATGGGCCCTTCAGGTTAGTGGTTATACTCGCACTCTATTGAAATTATGTTTAGTGTATTTTGAACAGTCCTTACTGAGTGGATTACTTGGCAAAGGTTTGTCATACTGGTTACTTATCAGGGTCATGAAAGTAGATAACGTGATTGCATATTGTGGTAAGGATTCAAAGGGGATATAAGGATGCAGTGGGCCCATCTGAGGATGTTGTCCCATGTCCAGTATTAGTTTTCTCTTGGTCTATGGAGAATTACATTATTTACATAATTAAGAATCAAGTATTTTTTTATTACATTTCTCTCACTGTTTAAGTGTATTGTTAGGAAAGACCTTAAATGTTTAACTTTTTGTAACTGCATTTTTAATAGCAGCCGCAGGCGCATATAGTGAGAATATGGATTGCAGCAATGAGTCAATGGAAGTTTTCTTCAAAGACATATCTTTGTCAAATTCATGTTTTTTGTTTATAGTGATTCTTCTCTTAACAGTAAACTAATTCCATGTTGAAGTATGGCCTAAATACATGTTATTTCCCTGCAGCTAATCGATGACTCGGTACCATTTGGAATGTCACAGGTTTTGGTTCGTAAATCTACAGCCTTGGGAATAAGTTTTATCTGCAATGTTAAAAGTTTATTCAGTGTCTTGTGCATGAAGGGAAGGTAATGTTGCTGATGTTGATATTAGATACATAGTAACAATGTACACGGTCGCCGTGTAGCATGGCGCCGTTAGGAATGATACTGTAGATAGAATGTGTCATGTTCTTGTATTTCACCGATGGGTGTGACCACATCACCCACTTGAAATTATTTTTAAATATTGATCATTCCTCTGAGTCCTTAGCTCAAATTTTATATATATGAATCTGTAGTAGACTGACCACCTGTTTTGGTACCCCCCCAGGGCACCATGATATGCTACAGTGAAGAGTGGAATGGCATGGCCAAGCTTTCTGAAAGCAATGAAGTTGGGTCTCGTCAACAAAGGCTGTGTTAACAGTTGGCACATTTCCATTTTGTTCAAATCAGCTTTATTGAGCACACTTGGTGTGGTCAATATGGCAAATATTGGCATTTATTGGAAAAAAGGTCATTATTTTCATGATGTTTATTATTTAGTGTAATCTATATTAAACCCACATGTTCATTGTGCATTGAGGGTGTTTCTTTGGAAAACGGATTGTCCATTTGCAGTCAAATTTTTTAACTGCTGATGCTCGTGCAGAATATTGTTTTTCTTCAAAGATCATTCGTAAACAACATGTGGGAAAGGTTTTAACAAAACTGCATCCATGGTTAAACACTAGTTTGCATGCATATGTCCAATATATATAGTGCAAAATAAAAATATGCATAGTGTGGCTGCCAAATATTAAGTGGATCTCAATGATATGAATCAGTAAGGGATCCTGAATATTTAGCATTTTGGTGGAACATAAAATGAAATAATAGTAAACGAATTGGTAAATTGTTAAAGCAAGTCTTATAAAAATAGGTGGCACATTTTGTATTGTAGTACTCGGTTAAGTTTTAAATGCAGTTATTTTATTTTGAGTGTTTACCTTCCCCCACAGTGCTGACAATTCTACGAGAGCCAAATTATGTTTACATTGCACTTCACGTGTTTTAATGCCATTGGAAAAAACTAAATACAGGAAATATAATTGACCAAATTAATTCTGTTGTATAGAACATTACACAGTTGTTAGTAGCTTGAAGGGTATATCTTTTGTGCTGTTTAAACCCAAGGTTCAACATGCAGCTAACCATGCGACATTGTGCAGTAATGCTCGCCATGACTTCACAGTATATTTATGGCAGGACTGATTGTTATGTGAACTATTTGTGACGTGTATATTTACATGTGGTAAAGCAATATACTTACATTCGCACAAATGAAGATAAGAGATATTCTCTTTACAAGTTTTGGCTACATATTTTAAGGAAAACTAAAATTTTCGTACTATCTTGGTTCTTTCGGTAAAGTCACGTAGAAGGGAAGTAATAAAATAATAAAAATAAAACATAATAAAATAATTCTCACGACGTTTCGGCCACAACGCAAGCAGCCGTCCTCAAGTGAGGACGAAAGCTTTAAATCGAAATTTCGTACTATCATCACATAGCTAAACTTATTGCGTCACAGAGAATACATTTGAAAACAAATGCTTGGGTATGCTTGAGGCTCTACGATGAGTAGATGTTTACCTTTGAAGCTGCATGCATTTCTAGTGGATGATGAAAGTATCTAGGTGCTAATGGCATTTTGATCGCAAGATACAGATGATGTGTGAGACGATTGTATATATTTTTAAATCCTTTATATTAAGTTCACTTGCTTGCTTGCGCGCTTACGACCGTGCAAATCTTTCGGTCGTTTTTAACCCACTTTCCGTGATCCAATCGGGCTGACATTTTGCACACAGACTCGTTGTGCGTGAGAATTTATTTTCGTGAAAATTTTTTTCCATAACTTTACACTTTTTAGGAATTTTTTTTTTATAAATCCTTTATATTAAGTTCACTTGCTTGCTTGCTTGCGCGCTTACGACCGTGCAAATCTTTCGGTCGTTTTTTAACCCACTTTCCGTGATCCAATCGAGCTGACATTTTGCACACAGACTCGTTGTGTGTGACAATTTATTTTCGTGAATTTTTTTTCCCATAACTTTACACTTTTTAGGATTTTTTTTTATATTTAATTACAAATTGCTTAATGGTGGCAGGCAATCATCTGACCCATAGGTGGCAGCCATCTCAAGCCAGAGGACGAGAGGACTCTAGCCGCCACGCATATAAAGGATTTATAGTGAGAAAATTTGTTTTTACGGGTTAATTGTTTTGTGTGTTACTTCCAAACCAAAAAAAAATGTATGGAGTTTAATTCATATAAACATCTAAAATAAACTAACAAGTTTAGGGAAATTCTGACAATATAATGCAATGGTGATTCTAAGTTACATAATTAGGCTTTGTAAGGTGAGCACACATTTGCACGGGAGAAAAGTCCTATCATGCATCTCTTTGATGGATTATAAGTCGTTTTTCAATCCACACATGAATGCAGCTGCATATGGAGTTGCACTACAAAAGGTGTTATATTTCTCTGGCACAAAGCGGATTAGCACACGCACAGCACACACCTTTGGTTGATCCACAGTGCGCGAATTGCACAGTGTCCCCTGACTGTTTAGCATGCAATGTTACGAAGCTACAATTAGCCTGTTTGCGAATTGTGACAGGAAATTAAATTATAACGGGAATGAAAATAAACTTGTGGCTTCAGTGATGAATTAATAAGCTGTCTTTGATACACAGACTGGCTCTCAAGGTGACTTGACAAGGCAAGACTTGTTGGATCGGTCTGATTGGCACACACTGCACCGTGGCAGCAAGTTAATTGCAATGCATACCTAACCCACTGACAAATGCGCTGGTGTGTTATTAGCAAGCCCATTCATTGGTCTCGTTTTTTTGTTGCGTGAACTTTGTTATGCATGCAAATGTAGTATTAGTAAGACAATATGAACATTTTAGGAAGATTTATGTAAGATAATTATTGTGCATAAGTACTGTAATTACATTCACTTGTGTTAAATGTGGCCACCGTTGTATTTGTTTATTTGATTTGAGGTCTATTTCTATAAGGCTCAGAAATACGTTTTTAGGGTTTTGTGACAGGCTGCTTTACAAAATAAAAAACGAATGGCACTTCAAGATAGCTGCTGATGTAATAAGCAGTACTTGGATTGGTTGTTTTACGAAGAATAGTAATTGTAATCAGTCAGCTAAAGGCTACTGTCAGAGTGCCTGTTGTGTCAGAAGGCGGCACAACTTGATTTACATTGTTGTTGAAGATACTTTCCAACAAAAGCTAATGTATCGTGCTTTGTCCAAGTGCTTCATCCATTGACATTTGTTCAGCGGCTGCGATTACTCTTCTTCACTGCTTTTCTTTGCCAATCTTATGACATTGCCAGATCTCAATTGCCAATAAATAAATCCCAAAGGAGGGATTGAAATGGCAATTGATTAGTCGGGTGTGAAATGACTTAGCAAGTGATTATATTTTTCTGCATAGGAGTATTGCCACATGCTCAATGTTAGATTAATAGTATTTTGCGAATGTGCTGTATTCTGAATGTCCCAAAATGCATTCATAGTTTCAGTGGTGGCTTAACATTTACTTTAATTCAATTAAGCTACAAGAACAACGTGCCCTTTGGAGAATGTTATTAAAGTGATGCCAAAGTAATTTCTAAAAATACTGAGCAATTACACATGAGGCATATTTAGCCAATGTGCATGCTGTGCATTGAATAGCATGATCCCACGTAATAATAGGCACCTCAGCACTTGTTTTTCGCTATGGGTGTCCCTTATATTGCAGATGTGATCACTGCATGCTGTCTGGAACGCTAAGCAATTCACCGGATATCTCCCCACGTTACCTTTTTTCACCTGCTTGTATATTTAACCGATTAGTTCTAGAATATACTTTTGTTGCGTGAATTTGTTATTAACTTGTAATTATTGCTGTTATGATATTGGGGTCTTGAGGAAATTTGAAAAATGCCACTCCATTGTTTTCTTCGTGCACCTGGAGACATAATCTGGAATTAACTTATGCTGAGTTTGAACAATATTTTATTTAACACGATTCTGTGCTTAGTATATAGCCCTGTATTATATATGTATTAAATTAAATATTTGACAGGAAAATCCTTGAGATGGCACATGTGATATGCAAGGGTGTCTAAGATTAATCCACTGCTTGATGACGGCCACCCCATAACATGTTGATCATGACTGTTATTTGACCTTACTTCATCACACTGGTTCATGCAGGTTGGTTAAGAGCGGCCCAGAATCAACAGAAGAGTAATAGAACATTATGTTCAATGCATGACTTCAGTAAAATGATTGGCATGGCTGTGCACACTGAATAAAGCATTGTAAACAGTTGTAACGCGAATGCGATGGAAGCAATAGAAACATTTGTCGTTCCACAGGACAGACGTGGCCTCTGATAAAAAAAAAAGGCACTGCAGGGAAACATAACTGGCAGTATCTTCACAGCACTGTTCCAGCCTTGTTAAACATCACAACCACTTTTTATGGAAATAGTCCTAAATCGTAAATACTCATTAAATATCTTTTTGCCTTATTAATTGGACACGCTAGATGCTAATAAGCTATGTGCTGTAACATGGAATTTTGATGGCACACTGGCATAATTTTAATAGAAAGAGATGCTACCTTATTGCGATTTCTAATCATTGCGGGCTTCAAAAGCAGGACCCAGTGTTGCTTGCTTAGGCAACGTCAGGTTATTGTTTTAATGTAAAATCCCTTTGCCAGCTCAGTTTTATCCCACTTGCGCCATCTCTTGGCTCCGTGGACCTGAGCATAATGCGTTCCAAGGGAGGAATGGGGGAAACAAGAGGGATGGGCGCAAGAAAGGAGGCTCAACGGTCGGTTGGTTTTTATCGTGTCTTCGGGGCACGGCAGCGCACATGCTGTGCCCATTCCACGCCTTCAGCACCGAAACCTGCCCGTGATTGATGATGCTGTCAGTGGGCACTGGCACCTTGGGATGGGCCCGAGGCATGATGGGACCACAGCTAGTGCTTCTCATCCTCCTGTTGGCAGGAACAGGTGCCAGCCAAGCTGGGGAGGCAAAATTCACTTAATATGAATTATTCTCCCACTTTTTTCCCCCTTCTAATTGAATTTAAGCCAAAACATGTTCCTGGTGCCTCCTGCGCTCTTATTTGTGCCGCTGGGCTGTGTGATGCTTTTATGCCTTGTTTTAGACACCACGTGTCTTTCATTGGGGCCTTTGGTGTGTGTTGCCATCTATGTTGTTCAAGTATACCAATAACACGGAGTTTATAAATTGATTGAACAGTTTTGTTTCTGTAAATGCAGACCTACCATTCCATTAATTTTTTGTAGGGTTTCTACAGTAGTTTTTGCCATTTCAGTATTTTTTAGGATAACCAACAAACCCTTGGCTATAATAGAATTTAAAATGGCCCTGAGGAAGAAGATTTGGAAGGACACTTTACCAATGGAGAAGTTAAAGGAGTTTCCAGGAGCCTTGCAGAGTTATAAAGTCTCAATATCCAACGTAAATATGTCAGCTGTGTTGGGGTTTTTGTTCTGTTTATAGCCCCTTATGTGCATTTTGTTGGTAAACTCTTCCATTGCAGAGCTGAGATGTGGAAAAAGTGCTCGTCTTTGATTGATCCCGGTCATATGTGGCTGGAGGGCTGTCGGACATCAAGGCAAAAAAAATAATCAGAATTTGAACGAGGCGCTTTGTTTCCTTCCCGTTCTTGTCTTGTGCAGAGCACGTCTGCCCCTGAAGATAACAATGAAGATGAACCGCCTAAGAAGATCGTTGCAGAGAAAAATTCAAAACGCCTAGTAGGTCTTTAGTGGAAAGTGATATCATTTGCATTGTTAGCCCTGAACAACTTTGTGTGCAGTATCAAGCAACCTGCTTACAATTTTACAGATACATTATTTATTGCTAATCGTTTTTTATCTTGCCATTGACGTGTGTATCGTTTTCGAAAGAACATTTTGCGTGCAATGTGTTATATACCCGATGCTTTGTTCACATTTGTTGTCAGCGCGAGCAAAATAACCGACATATGCTTTGCCGTCAGATATAAGTTGCACAGTGTGATGTGATACTGTTCTAAGATATTGCTGACAGTCATTGCTATAGAGCCTGTAGAGCGGTTTAATATAACAGTTTCCATAATGAGTCCCATTTCAGCCATTGCGTGGTCCGGGCAGCTAAGCCCTGGTTACAACCCCTAGGAGGAGTAACTGGTTTCACTTGACCATTTCATTAAGAGCTATGAATTTTACATCTGTCTCATAATATTTTTTCTACATATGTTTAGTTTTTTTTTCCAATTTTTATTTTTTAAGTGCCATTACTTTCAGTGGTTTTTTTTTATAAAATGTATGTCTGGCATGCCAGCATATAAATTATTTTCTGCAGCAGCCATTTTCTGCAGTGAAAATACATTAAATAAAGCCCCAGTTCTAGTTTAAAGCCAACACTTTTATTGATCATGTTTTGATATCAGACATTACCCCCTGTACATTCTGCAAATATGTGAGTTCTTCATTGCAATTTGCAGTTTCATTCCGACTTATTAGCTTTCTATGGATAGAGATGCTTCTTAAGCATTGTATGTAATAGCTGAAATTGCATCCATGATAACCAAAATTCGTACTTATCTAATATTATCACAGCTTATGGGATTTTTATTTCTTTGTGCTACATGATATTTGTGAAACAATTTATGATGTAATTATTGGAGCGCGAGCGGCCCCTGGGGTTAATTGGTACTACTTCAACGGAGATGTGGATGGGCAGAAAATATGATGTACTTGTCCTTTTGACATTGGCTTTGCTGATCAGATAGTTGCAAAACAATTTAAAATGCCTGTTTTCCTACATCTCCTGCACAAAAAAATGGCATTAGCAATTAGACTGTCGAGGTCTCCGCACTGTGGGTGGTCAGTCCTTTTTAATTGAAAAGAAAGAACGGCAAAAACTTTAAATGTTTCTTTAATCGGGTTGCCACTCAGAAGCTGCTGATCTGCCATATGGTAAGTCGTTTGAGAAAAGGAGGAATGATAATCGAGCCACTGCCACCCGTGGAGAGCATTTTGTCAATGAGCTTAGTTTAGCTGTGAGTGAATAGGCTGGGGCGTGAATTCAGTCTAGCTAAGCAGATTGAGGTTTTTATTGTATTAATCAGTTACTCTGTGCATTAGGACTTGTTTCGGCATGTCTGCACAGTACTTTTTATTAAGTCACGCTGTGTAAACAGGGCTATGAACACTTTTCACTCTTGGTCGCGCCGCTGTTAAAATAGTTTTTCTTCTCGAAGTGCTTTGCTGCCTACTGGCACATCAGTATCCGGGGTTATTGAGAGGTGAGATGTTTTGAAATTTTCTTTCTGTTTGGCCTTTGTTTAAACTTGGTCACGCATTAGCTTTCCAGATTTTGGGAAACGGAATTGTTAATGACATAAAAAGGCATTTGTTAATGATAAGTGAAAGGAATTCTATGGATGCTGTTAATGTTAAACTCGGATGCCTCTTTAGCTGAATTTTTTAATATTTGTTACTTTCTAGTAACGTTTTCCCTGAATATAACTACATGCATTAAACTGAAAATATATATTCTATGTATTTAGTATAACATAATATTTTTTGGTGTTATTTAAAAGTAAAATAAAAAACGTCATTCTTTATTTCTTAACACCTATTGTATAATTTCAGTGAAGCACAATGGCATCTGGCACCTTATGGTGCCTCTTCTTGTGTCCCTTATATACAAATGTTGATAATGCGTCTTGCCAAATCCACCTAACAGATTGATGTCGTACCCATTCAGAATTTTACACATTAACCCCAGAGTGCTGCCTGTGACACATCCTGCTACGAACCCTTAATAGATTAATGGCGTTGTAAATGTGTTACCACTTAAATGAACCACGGGTGGTAATCCTGTGTTTGTACAATAGAGAGACAAGCTCTAGCTAGCTTTTCTTCTAACATACATACGCTGATACGGGGCACACTTTGTGTGATTTATTTTTATTTCAAGCGTTTTTACGTTTGTGATATTTTGAAGTTATTTTGCAAATGAAGGTCATTTTAGCTAAATATTCCAAAGGAGGCATGAATAGACCATAACTTTAAAGAATGTACCCTAAAGCATGTAGCCCTGCCGTTCTACGAGCATAGATCTAACTTGCGTTTGCCCATAATAGCGTTGTGTATGATGGACCTGGTACCTAGAGTGAATGTATAATGCTTATTTCATTCAAGTGCATGGGTCGTGGAGGGAGCAGTCCTCTGAGATTAGCCTGGCTGTACAGCTGGGAGCTGATTGAGTTGTTCTGGCAGTCTATAAACCTTACGGTCCTGCGCTGTTTAAACCCCCATCGGCCGGATCTCATTTGCAGCATAAAGGAGTTTGGCCCGAGGGGGCACATTTTACAGTGTAATCCAATTAAAGCATTATGGGACTCTTGCAATGTTTTCTCTAATGGGAATAGCCCCGAGTGCTGCACCTTCTGGCCCATGACACCATCTGAACTTGTCAAACAGGAGGACCTCTCTCTTAGCAGTTTGCGGCAATATTGTCATTGTCTGTCTGATATGCAAAAAATATAATTATCTCTCTATGGCCGTATGTTTGGCTCTGACATTGAGTGGCATCGGCTAGCTGCTGGAAAATTATTTGCAATCGATTGCACCTGTTTGTGTGTGCAGGATTTGTTGTTGGCCAGAATGTTGTCATCAGTCTCGTGTAGAGATTCAAAAACCAATGCACACTTTACATTTTAAGCGTACATTTTATGGGTGCACAAAGGACAGATATACATAATAATTGACGAAATGTTCCTATTTCATTCTGTGGAATAGGGCTTATGACAAGCAAAATACAGCATAATGCTATGAACACAAGGCTATATTTTTGTTTAGCTTCTCGGCACTTTAACTTAAGCATTATATTTGCCATTGGAATGTAGCATGGATGTCAGAGATTAGCAAATGAATATGGGCAAGAAAGGGAACTGGGATTTGTACAATACTGAAATGTCACAGTTCTCTTCAGGTCATGCTGACTGGGCATCTTATGCAGAGCTTGTCTAAACAACTTCTTCTTTAGTCTCTTTTTTCCTCTGCAAAATGTAAAAATATAAAACTAAACAACATTACCCCTAAATGTTTACGCGTGTAGTGTCTACTACACGTGCAGTTAAATGTTTAAATTGCATACAATTGTCACACTTTTTCTCCTTGTGTTTCTACAAAATATCCAATGACCATAAGTAAGAGTGCAGGGGGTAATGAATTAAATTACTTTCACCATAATCCCATCGGTTTAGACATGTGATCCTAAATGAGACATCATTGGTACAAGGCTGCCTGTCTTTAAGTTGTTGATTGGTTGAATGCTTCACTGATCATGTGTAATGGGGGCCAGTTCTCTGGGGCTTTTCAATTCCCATTTCACTTGCAGTGTGCATTTGCAAAGTGAAGTTTTTTTTTAAACCAATGATTAATCCAAAAGGTTACAAACAAAAGGTAAACAATACATAACATCAATTTAAATACAATTTGGAAAATACAAGTAATGTGGCTGAGTTGGTCTGCATGTTCTAAACTGATGCAGTTTTACATTTCTAAGTAAAATGTCACTTGGGTAACTGATGTCTACAGTTTTTTTCTTCAGTTTTGCAGAACATTACGGCTGATTTTTTTTTTGATACTGTGACAAACTGACAATGCCGCTGCACATTTCCATCTTCCAGTGCACTGCCAGTCAGTCATTCCTCCACCTAAGACCGCTTGCACTTGCAAGGGGGGGCTTCCTTTTTTAAAGTGTTTTGCATTAGCATAATCAAATTTATGGTGGCGGTTGATTGAAGCAAGGAACGCAATATGGTGTCCTGTAATCAATCATCTTCTCCCTGTCAAATTAAATCCCAGGCGTGAGAGCTGTGATGGGGGAGCAAGAATGGCAGCTAATCACACAGCCGAAAAATTGATGTGCTGTTTGTCTCTGGTTGCTCAAGCGTGTAATGGTAGTTACAGGGTATCGTCTCTTTGGCAGTGGCGGCAGGGGGGGGGGGTGCGGAGGAAACGTGCAGCCTAACGGCGCGCGCTCACGCTGGATTTAGTACTGCGTGCGTTAGCAGATTTGAAGGGCGGTTATTTACTGGTATTGTTGACTGCTATTGTACGGCACGGTACACGCGTTAACTGATTGAGCGGCAGGGCTCTCTTTAATAGCTGTGATATGTTCCTTACTCCTCTATTCCGTATTAAGAGGTTTGTACCAATGCATAAAAATAACATTGATTCATCCTGAAATGTTTTATATTGGGTAGAATTGCCTTTTTGATTTACGTGACAAAAACATGCATTTTTCCTTAGATTTAGAAACTGTGTTAATTGATTACATTACCCAACGGTACCTTTATAAGTGTTCACTGGGGCGACCTCCACCTGTATTCAACTGGAGAGGATGCACCTGTGCAAAACTGCAACAGACTAGTGGTGCATCGTACATTTGATCATGATAGTTATGGTGATGCATCATACATTTAATAATAATGAGGCATTATTATAAGTTTATGGATGGTGATGATGAACCATGTATTTGATAATGATTCATCATACGAATCATGATAATGATGATGCATGATCATTTATGACAATGGTGATGGTCCAGCATTATAATAGGTGCGACTGAATGTAATTAATGGGTGAATCACTTGCATTCAGATAAAGAGTGACCCTGCTTCTGAATAAATCATTCTAAAAAGCAGAGGTCCATCTGCTTGCCTTTTTTAATCCCTCAGCACAGGGCAATTGATACACCTCTGCTGAAACACTACTGTGTTGGCCTTTAATGTGTGAAACTAAATTGTAAACTGTGTTTGTGACGGAGTGTTGATGGTTGCTTGACTTTGACGCAAATAGTGGTGTGTTGCCTTCAGAATCATACCTTTTCGATCCTTGATTCATTTTCTTAAATTGCGACAAGTCACCGATTGACATCTTGCAATGGTTACAGAACATCACTTTTTTATGTTGAGAAAGTACTGAGCATATGTTAATCATAGTTATTATTTGTATATTTTCTGCCCAGCTTACTAAGATTTGTTCGCAATTATCATTTCAGTTATTTCCTTTTTCATTTTATTTGTGCATTAATGTTTCATTTGTAGCTCTTGGTAAAATAACAATTTCATTATATTCACAGTTTTTACATTTTGTATTGACGTTAATGCCTGAAGAAACATGCTAGACTAAAGAATGTTACTTTAGCTTACGGATATTTCTACTTTTTTCAGAGCAACTATGGTGGTGCAAGCTCGGATGAGTCACGCTGCATTGATCAAATGAGTTTATTAGGGATTACACAGGTATAATTTCATTGTTTCTACCTTTCTGGAAAAATGCTGTCATGATGTTCATCACTGGAATTCATTCTGGCTGCCATTGTTTAGCTACAAGTAAATGCGGCCATTTTTTTTAAAATGTTGTAACTTTGGAAATTGTGCAATTAAAGATGAAGGCACACTTTTAAAAATGTTTACGTAAATGTGACGCTATTAACTCAACGTTCATGTATCCATATCACTAACGAAAACCCGTTTAAAAAAAAAAAGAGAGAAAAACCCATTAAATCTTAATATAATGAACAAATGGTACCAATAAAAACTTCCTTAACAGCTTTGTAATGGTATTGCTGTACATTTATGGCCCTGTATTACATCTTTGGCAATATGAAAACTATGATGATATAAGTATTGTTTTGATTTAAAAAGTAATGAAATCAAATCTATATTCTCCTTTGTCGTTATGAACATTTCCATACTTGCTGTCAACACATTACACCCATAAAGCCTTTTTCTAAATTACGAATTTAAATTGTTTATATAATATGTTTTACCCTTCAGTATACATACTTTTTCCTTCTCAAAAACACTGACAACTATAAGCTCATAGGGCTGACATTAATATTGGCTACATACACTACTTGTGGCATGCAATTTGTTTCACCAAGAATGGTAACATTAAACATTTCTTAACATGCACGTGCTAAAATATATTGATAGTATAATACAGTTTGCCTGGAAACAGAAGTGTTCCTAACGATCATTGTTTGTTATTTGCACTTAACTGCAAGACTTTCTGTGAAATGTAAAATAATCAATGATTGCTCTGGGATTTTTCCCCCTTGTGTCTTCATTGGATGCATTGACAACAGTTGTGTATCTGTAGGCCAATCTAATTCCTGCATTATACTGGCGTTTCAGGTACACGCTGCACTCTTCGTACTGTGTTTTACAGCCTATAAAAAGTAACGGGCATTGGCCCCCCATATTCTGAATTCTATTACAGACAAAAATCCTCAGCAATGGCAACACCAATGCTCTCGTTGCCAAGCGGAAGTCGTCGGCTAACTACGAGAAGGAACGCGAAGTTTGCGTGAAGTACTTTGACCAGTGGTCCGAATCGGACCAGGTGGAATTTGTGGAGCACCTCATATCGCGCATGTGCCACTTCCAGCATGGCCATATCAACTCCTATCTCAAGCCCATGTTACAGCGGGACTTCATCACTGCATTGCCGGGTACGTAGTCGAAAGGTCGCCGCCGCGTCCCGTGTGTTTGCCATGTACACATAGGGCCCTTTGTCACTCCCCTGCTGGTTTAGGGCCTTTCTATGTGCTGTGGGTCCTGGGAGACATTTGGCCATACTTCACCACACTTACCAATGCAGGTTGGTGAACGTGAGGAGCGCACATACGTTGGAGTATTGTACAGGACAACAGCATATTTTGCCCTCTGATGTCAACGTAGCCCTGCAGCCTTTAACAACATGTTTTATGCATTGTGGGGGTCCCCCTTTAAAGCACAATCCAGGCTTTCAACCTGGTTAACTTTCGAGATCAGGGTGAATTTGTCATGATCGTGTTTACCATAGCATGGCACATTTTTGCACAGGTACACTTGTGGTCTGTGCATTTGCCACAGGAAGTTTGATTCCTGGAAGTTTGCCACTTGGAAATTCACGTAGAGAATTTCCAGAGTGAGTAATCTGCTGTGAAATGCACCTACATTTTTCCGGTGATGTCATTCACTGCACTAGAGTGGGGGTCATTGTGAGCCCTAGTCAAAGTTTATTTGGAAATTATATGTACCCCTTGATTAATAACTTTTAAGGCACACAAATTGTTAATATAAACAAATTTAAAGTCATCTAAAAACTCCATTCCATTTAATTCAACCACAATATGAGTTATGTGAACCTGGCAAAGAGTTGCACTCGTGCTTTTCTTTGTTACTCAAGTTTGTAAAAGAAAATGTAATCTATAGATTATCTACCAGTGCTAACACCTTATTGAAATTACTCTTTCTGAGCACTGTCTCCACATTGTGACATTGTGGAAGAATAAGGTTTTTTTTGTTCATAAAATGAAACATAAATTGCATTGTCTGTGCGGTAATACAAAGCTGGTGCGTGTGCCACTGAATGACTCGTACAATAGCACACGGTGTCGGTTTTGGTACCTTTCCTTCTTATTTTTCTTTCCCATTGACCTGCGCTGGAATGATAAGCCCATCCATCATCTCGGGCAGGATTTTCATAAACTACGATAAATCGCCTGGGCCGGCTCTTGCGCCTGTGCCCCTGTGTTTAACATCATACCATATTCAACTCTGCTTTCTGTCACTGTCGAACCATCACTGACCATGCACCCAGCCTTGGGATTATGAAGGACTTTCTTTTTCCTGCAAATGTTTCAGAAAGGTGAAGACATCTGGAAATACGAAGTTATATTTTGGCAGTGAATGTTTGCGGCCATGCGTACGCTCGTCATTGCAAAATATGACTTAATTTTCATCGCAAAATTTATCTAACCATTAGGGACGTAAAATGCCCCGCAGGCTGGATGCAAATAATCTCAAAACGTTTAAAATGTCCATTGGTGCTACAGCGTATTGCATTTTTTACGGTTCCCTAACTGCACTTGGTGATCATGCAAAAGTCCACGTTGCGAGTAATTATGTTTTGCCCGAGAGTTTATTGACACTTTGATATAATGCCTCGACGCATATTGGCTTAGGTATTGAAGGAGCCGCAGGCTATTGCTAATAAAATTCCATTCTGTACCGATGCTCGGCTAGCCAAATCTCTGCAGCAAGAGCATTGGGCACGCGGGTCGGTGTATTTTTGGATGCGAGCACACAATCCAGTGCTCCATCTACAGGCTGCCAGCTGACCTTGCAGATAACTGACATGCGCGTTGACACCCCATCTGTTAGCTTTTGCCGTAATCATTGTAATCCAATAACATCTGAAGAATTGATAGGTGCATGTGTTGTGTTAAGAACTCATTTGTCTCATTAGGGTCCCACTGGGCCCTTGGTTTCTCTGACAGGCAGCAGTGGCTGTTGATTGTTGCCAGCATGGGGTACGAGAGGGAGAGGGACGGCGCTCGAACATTATCAAATTGGCGTGTTATGTCTAATGCTCCTGTATTGTCTCATAAAATAGAGAATGTTTTTTTGTGTTTATGTAGGGGAAGAGAAATTAGATAAAAGTGAAACGTGAATAATTATGCATCCACAACTCTGAATTACAGGTTTATTTGTACGTCCTCATGTAAGCGTATCATATAATGCATATTACATATGATTTAACAGTTGGACTCTCTTAATGGAGCATGGTTCAAATTAATTATAGAGAATTTAGAAATATCTTAGTGAGAGAGCAACTGAATGAAGAACTTGATTACTGTTGAGTTTGTTTCAGAGTAACATATATGTGATGTGTGTATTTTATTATAATTCCCTTGATTTTAGCATTTTATTATTGGATAACCAACTCCGTTTAGTCAGACCACTGTTTATTTTGCTGCAGCAATATGAAACAGCTTAGAAATAGTCAAAATTGCAGAGCTGTTAATGCAGTGAGAGGTGACCAGGTGGCTCAGAAGTCAGGAGTGCTTAGCTGAATCAACCAGGTTATCAAGTGTAGGGATTACTCTCGGCTTCTTTCGGTAAAGTCACGTAGAAATAAAATAAATTAAACAATATAATACGACGTTTCGATTGCAACACAAGCAGTCGTCATCAGGTAGAACTAAATTTAGAGAGACAAAACACAGACACGCAGACACACAGACATACAGACAGACACACAAGCAGAGAGAGACAACACAGAGACACAGAGAGAGACACACTTTCCTGAAAGAACCAAAGAGTAATTCCTGCAGTCACGAAAGCTTCAAATCAAGCGTAGGGAGTTGATTCCTCAGTCCAGTCATCAATTATTTAAAATAACCTATAGCATGAGATTTAGTTTGCACTTAATTTGGCTAATTTCTTGCTCTGAGAAATAAAAATGTCAGTTTCACTGTCATGTGACAAATATTAATCTTGGTAGTAGGGTGGGTGGGACATTTCTGGGCGTCGATGCCGCCGCCACCCACTGAACATTAATTCCTCTTCTAGCAGGGTGGGTGGGAAAAGTGCTGCCCCCTACTGTTTAGACCAGAGGTCACTTGAAGGAATCTTGAAGGTAGCTCTGGTATCCACTTCATTCCGCCGATCTCTCTGAGAGTTCCGAATTAATTATTTGTCTCATAACACGATGCCATTTCCAAAATTGGTGGAAAATTTAGAAAAAATTATGAAGAGAACAGCTGTGCGGTTCGAGGGAGTGCTTGGTGGGTAATGTCTGGCGCGGCTTCACACTGCCACTTTGTTCCAGCACGAGGACTGGACCACCTGGCGGAGAACATCCTGTCGTACCTGGACGCGCGCTCACTGTGCGCGGCTGAGCTGGTGTGCAAGGAGTGGTACCGCGTCATCTCGGATGGCATGCTGTGGAAGAAGCTGATAGAGCGCATGGTGCGCACCGACTCGCTTTGGAGGGGCCTGTCAGAGAGGAGGGGCTGGTACGTGCTAGCGGTGGCGTTCTACTTGTCCTATTCTACTTGTCCTTTTTTCCTACTCAGGCCTGCAGTACATGTACTGCCCTTATGTCAGTCCATTGTTGGATGAGGGCCTCGCCATTCCAGACAGCGATACAGTGCTATGCTCCCACATCCACTCCAGTATCCAAGGCCTTGTCTCAAAACTGTCAGTCAACCTACCCTCAATTGGAGGTTACTCTTTTTCTGATGCTGCCCCTCTAGTCTCACCCTGCCTTCTTTGCTGCCAACTCAAGTCTATGCTCTGACTGTTTCATATCTATGAAGTCTTATGACAAAATGTATCTATCCTTGTTTTGGCAGTTTCCCATGACACACAGTGTCTTGAGATGCAGCTGCGTGCAGATGCTATATACATTCAAATTGCATTGTTTTCTGTTGAGATGGGACAGGACTTTTATCAGCAAACATCCTGGAGATTCAAAGAAAATACAGGGAATTTAAACATTGAGTGTTTGTAAATACATGTGTATTACATGCTGTGCAATGGATGTGTATATAACGTAGATGAAAATGCATTGATTCATATTTTAGCCACGATTGGTTTTCAGCAATGTTTTGTGGCATATATCAATGTTCTTAAAGCCGTAAGTTGATACAACCATGATGTTTGGGTAGGTTTACGTGTGCATGCACACTCAAGCAATATTCTGTGCTTCTTTAAGTGACATTTAAGTGTGGGAGCTGTTCTATGAATTTGGTGATCTGAGTTTGATTCCCGGCCATGGCTAGCATCATTTGCAAAGTACTATCTGGGGGTCTTCCCCCCAACCCCCATCATTACCAACCCTTAATGGCCTGCATGGTTTAAAGTATGGTATAAAAAAAACATCACCAATGTGGTGTGGTGAGACCTTTCAGTGGTTTATTGACAAAGGGCTGAAAACACATGTCACCTGCTTTCGCTGTTTAAGAAGTTGAAATGTGAGAATTAATTCAGCACACTGCCATGCTTTATTTTTGTTGCCTTGCCTTTTACGGAGTTGATGCAGTGAATGTCTTTGTTGCAAGTCCAACTTTTGAGAGTATAAATCAGCAGTTTTCTTTCCGTAACAAAACTCACAAGCATCATAGACATTGCAAATCAATACTCGCAAGAAGAGATTGAACCATTGCTTTGCAGCTGCCAACCTGTTAAATGGGTACTTTATTTCGCCTTGTGGCTGAATTAAGTTAAGGGCTGTGAACGTGTTCTTAGACTGTAGGGGAAAAAAGTGTTTTTTAGGTACGAAATATTTACCCTGGCATTTGTCAAGATGTCACTGGCATGGGATGTCATAGGTAGGGACAGAGGCAAGGTTGTGAATCTAAAGATGGGGGTGGGGGGGGGGGAACTAAAAAAAAACTTCAGCTGTGAGCCGAATAGAATGTTTTATGCTCTGTTTCATGTCTGGGGTTTTTTTTTTTGAGCTGAGCTTTACACTTTCTGCACATGCCACATGGGTAGCTCTGAACGACTGCCAGCTATTCACAGATCCTTATGGGAAGTTCTTTCAAGATGTCCTGTAACATATGGTGCTCTTTCTGTATGCGTGAGCATAACGTAATTATGAAAATTTATCTGGTAGAATGAATCCTGCTGCATTTGGGGAGATTTGCAGCATGTTTGGGTATGCCTCAAGACATTACAGCAGATTGAATATTATGACTGGTCAGCAACACTGCCAGATATCTGCATTATTCACCAAACTTTTTTGTATAAATTTCACACAGCCATAAAATAATAATTGATTGCCCTCTAAATAGTCTTTTTTTTTTACAAAAGGCTGTTAATGTTTAATAGCATTAACATTTTATCATGCGATTTTATACATTTATTTCAGTGTGATTGAATGTAGTTTATTTAATTACATTTTAGGTAAAATTACTCACACGTATGTCTCATTTAAAATTACATCAAATTGTGTAACGCGTAGGATAGATGCTTTTCATTTTGCTTGTTCCCAATGTATTCCATGGCGTTGGTGGGTTCAAAATGGGTACCAATTGAAATAAAATAATGTAAATTAAAGAGAAACATTAATTAAATCATAAGAGGCTCTTTGACTAACCCCAAAACCCACAGAGCCATGAAAAACAATCCCTTGTCCTATTATGCAATAGGCCAGAACAATCTACTTTATATAAATCAGCACACATACAATTATGTAAGGCAGCTGGGCATTTAAATGCTATTATGTACTTATTTATACCGCTTTTTCAAAGGCGAGCGAGTTTTATCCCCTACGCTCATGAATACACGCGCGTCTGTGCATGTCCAAAAGGGGAGCCTTACTGATAGCTTACCTGGGACCAGCTGTGCACACCACCTCCTGCAGGCTTAGTGGACACTAATGGGACTAATAGCTCAAGGAGGGGGGCCTCAACATTATGATTTCTTTTTCAATTCCTCCAGCTGGTTATTTGTCTCAGGACAAAACAGGCCCCTATAGAGCATGCAGCACAAGACCCTTATTACGTTTTTATTTATGTGGGGGCCGCAAGCAGGACTTTCCCTGCTGAGACCGCCTCAATATCGCCAGGACCTTCTTTGACAGCCTTGCATTAAAAATGTCACTGCTTTGAAAGCTGTTTAAAATTGCCTCATCCCTCATTGCATACCGCAAAAGGCTACAATAAAGCTGACAATTTGACAGTCTCGCATAATATGTAGTGTTCCGCAAAACTTTCTGCTGCATTTATTTTACGGAGCAGAAAAATTTGCTATATTAAAATGTTGAATAAAAATTCCCAGCGCAAGGTAATGCATGAGAGCTTGTCATGGAGTAAAAGATTGCAAGGAATTTTCCCAAACTTTCTTCCAGGGCTCTTCTGAATATAATAATGTAATTTTTAAAGTTTGGCGCGAGTGACTATTTTGCCAATTGTCACACTCCCATCTCTTTCCAGGTGCTTGTATCTTTTCAGAAACTGGCCAAACGGTGGCCCACCTCAAGCCAACTCCTTCTACAGGGCCCTTTACCCCAAAATAATTGGGGACATTGAGGTTTGTGAAATCAAAAAGTATTACACGTGAATTATTTCGTTTCTTAGAACACATGTATGTACGGTAAATATTTGTTTCAAATGCATGACCTATTACCAAATCATCGAATACATTTGATCTATGTTAGCTCTCGGAAGCTAAGCAGGTTTGAGCCTGGGTAAGTGCTTGTATGCTTGCCAAGTCGTCATAGGTGTCTCCGTAGCTGTGCTACGTCGCGGTCAGCAGAGGACATTGCAGCAAAAGCCATTGTACTGTATTTTTATGCTTGCGCATGTATGCTCCCCACCTGCACCGTCCTGTACTGACCAGCACGTGAAGTATTGTCGAATAATCCCCACGGCCCACATGGCATGGGCTGGCCGTCATCCAGCAGTGGATTGACAAAAGGGCTATAGATGTACATACATGAGTGCATGGCTAGGGGAAATACAGCTGTATAGGACTGCCTACAAACATCAACACCGGAGATATTTTTGTTTGTATTTTTCAGACGATAGAGTCAAACTGGAGGTGTGGCCGACACAACCTCCAGCGCATTCAGTGCCGAAGCGAGAGCAGCAAGGGTGTCTACTGCCTGCAGTATGACGACGAGAAGATTGTCAGCGGCCTCAGGGATAACACCATTAAGGTAAAGGCCACCACTGAGGTGGCTCCATGGGACCAGCTGTGCATAGTCGTTGAACAAGCACCGCTGAAAACCTGGGTTCAATTCCGGGCGGCCACCCGTCTGTAAAACACATTCCTGCGGAGGGAGCTGGTAGGAACGTTGGTTTGCTCGGTCAATGGCCAGGGTCAACGGCGGCGTGGTGTATTCCGCAAATATGCCCGACTGTGAGGGCAGGCACAAGCCGGCATGAGTAGGTTAAACGTTGAGTTTTATAAGGGCACCACGGGGTGACCAGCCCCTCCCCACCCAGCCCCACCTTCCCCACCTAGCCCCTCCCTCCCCACCCAGCCCCTCCCCACCCTCCCCTCTCCACCCAGCCCCACCCCTCCCATTTTTGGATGCACGATGGACGGACGGACACAATCCCCTGTGGGCTGGTGTAACCAGGAGGTTCCTACCAGTATTATATTCTCGAGTGTCGTGAGTTTATCGTCTCACCAAAGGAAGCAACGCCTCTAAAATGTGTTTTTTACTTAATTTGGTAAAATTCCACTTGAGAATGAATGTCTGTTTGACTGACTTGTAATGAACATGGGTAGAGTAGGGTGTGGAACATTCAGCACCCCGAGTGGAGCAACCAGGTGGGGTTTGAATATTATACGTAATTTTTTTCTCTCCTTTTTTCACTCGGGACGTAAAGTATTTACATTTGCAGTATATTGATGTGGATGGTTTTTCACAGCATCATGGTCACTTAATTTTTTTATGTTTTTATCGTATGTACAATTATGTGTATTACTTGCAAGTTTTTATTGGCAAGAAGGGTAAAGCCTGTTCTTATGTTTTCATTGTCTTGATTCTGACAAAAAGTGCTCGTAGATATAGTTTAACTGTTTTATTCTTGTTGTGCATATTTGACCATGCCTTTGTGCTCCACGCGTCTCAAACAGATCTGGGACAAGCAGACACTGGAGTGCAAGAAAGTTCTGACAGGGCACACGGGGTCCGTGCTGTGCCTCCAGTACGATGAACGTGTGATTATCACGGGCTCCTCCGACTCCACAGTCAGGTAAGTACTGTCATTTATGATGAAGAGACAACCAAATTCATTGCGTCATTAAGGAAGAATCATTCCACGAACAGAAGCTAAAACGCTTAAAAAGGGAATGTGTGGAACATTAAAGACAGGCCCCAAATGATTCACCACCCCAAAGAGTCTTCTTGGTTCTTTCGGTAAAGTCACGTAGAAGGGAGATAATAAAATAAAAAATAATAAAACATGATAAAATAATACAATTCTCACCCCAAAGAGTTTGAATAAACTGTCACCTCTGGCCACTTTCTGTGTGCTGTGAAGAAGCGCCATTGCCCAAAACGTCACCTATCATACACTTTCTTTTATGGCACTTATCGACAAATGTATTGTTTGTTTGATATGTCTCGTTCTACACCACTGCTGATACAGAATAACCAAATACAGAGTACGTCTTAAAGGTTTGCCCAAGTAATGTGTTTTCATTATACTTGGGTGTACATTTTTTGTCTATTTTTCCTTGTTTTTTAGTATATTAGTCTAAATGAAAATGAAGCGTTGCAATAACATATAAATTGCAACAATTCATTTGCTCGTATAAACCCCTAGGTGAGTGGTGAAGGTCCCATCAGCAGTTCTCAATTGGGCCTTCAAAAATCATAAACCTACCCTGCAAGGTTTTATACCATTGCATAGCTAGGGCACTGCACCATACTGTATTGCACGTCCTCTAACACAATGCCCTGCATTAAAATGGAATGTGCACATCTCAAGGAAGATCCATCCACTACCATCACAAGTGGACATAAAAAAAAACCTCCGCATGAGATTGTGGAAACACACAGCAGTGAGAGCCACTGAAAGCAATCCATCGCAAGTCAACTGAAGTAATTTCTTGGCTAATGTGAACATAGCCTTATAGATTTCTATTCATCCAGACCTAATTAAACACATCAGACACACCCCTTCACACGTTTTTTCTGCATGAACATTAAGTGGGGTTTGGGCAGGACGTGTCGCTGGAGGGGTTGACGGGCGTGGTTGCGACCAATGATGGCGTGGCACCCAAAAGAGGATTTCCACCGCGAATGGAGCGATTGAGATTTGCTCCTCTACAGGAGCTAGGCGTAATTGTTCCATCATGCGACCGTGAGCGATGGTGACGGTTAAGGGGAGGTATTCGTCCAGCAGTGGATATATGTTGGCTGACGACGACAACGATGATGATGCTCATGCAGGGTGTGGGACGTGAACACGGGCGAGATGGTGAACACGCTGATCCACCACTGCGAGGCGGTGCTGCACCTGCGCTTCACCAACGGCCTCATGGTCACCTGCTCCAAGGACCGCTCCATCGCCGTGTGGGACCTCGCCTCGCCCACGGACATCTCGCTGCGCCGCGTCCTTGTCGGGCACCGTGCCGCCGTCAACGTCGTCGACTTTGACGACAAATACATCGTGTCGGCTTCGGGAGACCGCACCATCAAGGCAAGCGGGGGCGAATGGGGACGTAACGGGTGGCGTCTCACTGAACCGCGTAGCGAGTGAATCCGAGTGGTCGGGTCGGTTGAGAGAGTCGCCAGGAAGCAGACGGTATGAAGGAGGTTGTGACGTCGCGACTTCCCTTGGGTGCCGTTATTGTGGTTTTTCGTTTGGATTCCTGTTTTGCATTTAGAATCTCCACAATCGGTTGCTCTTCTATTGGCAGGGCTGCAGTCCTACGAGGGCTCAATGAGTCGTAAAAGGATGCAGATTAGTGAGATGAAAGAGAGATACGCAAGTTATATAAATGAGAGAGCTGTGACAAGAAGTAAAGATAAGTGACATGAAAGCGAAGTGAACGAGAAGGATTGGAGACCTTTAGATATTAGGTACAGATTAGTGTTGTATATTCATTATGTTAAGATGCCTGTTAACGTCAATTTCTGTTATGAAATATGACATTAGCAGCCAATGCATGTTACATTTAATGCAGTTGAAGGACCCTACTACACACACATTGCACATGTACAGCATTTGTATGTATAAGAAAGCATGTGCGCACACAACATGATGCAATAACCTACAGTGCCAGGTTAAGTCAACTTGGATTTTTACGGGTTAGTGTTATCATCCCAAGACTCCAAATGTGCATGCTCGTACAATTTTTTTAATCGTGAGAATTCAGCATTAATTCCTGAAGTGCACAAATCGAATATTAGGAGCGGCTTCGCTGCAAGAAGCCACCTTTTCTGTAGGGCATTTTTGGGGATTGCAGTAGATAAAAAATTGACGTCGAGATTTGATGTACATTCGATTGCTTCAGGAATAGCTGCGTAGATTTGTTTCAGATCGCCGTTGAATGATCTGATTGGGCAGTCGGTCACGATATTTTGCACCGTCTGAGATGTCGCATCACAGTCACAAACTGGACTCTGGTTAATTTTTAATTTATGGAGAAAGTTTCCACCACATCTTCCATGGAGTGTCCAGATTCGATTCAAGAAGGACCAGATCTTCCTCGGTAGATCAGATCCGGGTTGAAGGAATGTGGGGTCGCTGATGATGAGTTTCTGCAGCAGGTTGGTGTTTGCCCAGGGCTTCCCTCCATCGTACTTTGATGGTCTTGTCTTCGTCATGGAGGTTCTTTGCATATTGCCAGAAAGGTTTTCTGGATTTGAGCCTGTGTGGTGGTGGCATGGAGATGTCCTTGTTGGGAGGTTTGGATTTCTGATGGCCTTGCGAAGCTACGGAGGAGCGATGTTTGTGAGGACTGGAAGCCACAGCAGCGGTATGCTCTTTAGCGTTTCTGACATGATCCTCATGGCTGCATTTAGCTGTGTATCCACCAGCTTGTGCACACTTTTATTCCAAGCGGGAGCGCAATATTCTCTCACAGAGACGATTAGTGCTGTGGTGGCCATCCGGAGCGTCATTGCGTCTGCTTCTCATGTTGCTCCGGCCAGTTTATGCACGAGATTAACTCGTGATTTTGATTCTACAGCAGTATTCTGCAGGTGTTCGCAGAACGTGAGGTTCCTGTCGATAGTTACAACCGAGGAATTTTGGGTACTTCTCGTGCTGGACCTCCTCGCCACAGAAAGTGACGGCCAGTTTCTGGTCGGCGTTTGCATTGTTCCGGTCGAATGATGTAATGGCAGTTTTCGTTGGGTTTGGGTGGAGCCTCGAGTACTTGAAGTACATTTCGAGTTTCTTAAGGACTTCGCACAGGTCGTTTTGGACCTCAGTTTGGGTGCTTCTTTGGACGGCAAGTGCCAACCTCACCGGCCTTGCCAAATTTTCGGCTGATGGTGACAGGGAGGTCACTTATATATGTTAAAAAGTGCCGGAGCAAGCACTGATCCTCGTGGGAGCCTGTTATTGAGTAAGTGGACTGACAGTGTTCCCTAAGTGGACACGGTATCGCCGGTTGGCCAGAAGCGATGATAGGAGTCGTATGGTCTGCTGGCATCTGATGACCTTTGACACCTTTAGCATGAGGCCCTCCCGCCATATTGTGTCACATGCCGCTGATATGTTGATGAAAGCAGCTCCTTGTGATGTCCTTGCGCTGGTAGCCAGCTTTGTGCGTGGTAAGTGCCAGCACTTGGTCGCATGTGCTGCGGCCGGTGCCGAAACCAGCCTGTTCAGTTGGTATAGCCTCCTCGAAGATCGGTGACATACGGGTCGGGAGCATACTTTCCAGGAGTTTGTACACCGTACTCAGCACGGATATGGGACGGAATTTATTTGGGTTTGCGGTTGATATTCCAGGCTTGGGAATGGCAAAGACCTTCGTTTGTCCCCAGCCAGCGGCATCCTTTATAGCCAAGATGTTTCAGGAACTCTGGATAAATCCCGTCTAATCCACCTCGTTAATTTGTTGATATACACACATTCCCTCGTGTCCGCGAGGGATACATTCCGGAGATGCCCGTGAATGGCAAAATCTTTTGAATGAATTACCTTATACATAAGCTATTAAATGTGTGAAAAGTATCATAACACACAAAAGTGTGTCATATACATAAAGTAATTAATTGTTTATAAATGCAGTCATGTAGAGTTCCAGAAGCCATTCACGGATAAAAGGTTCGTGAATAATGAGGGAATACTGTAAAAATGTACATTTAAGACGAGATTTTACATATTATATTAAAGGTCCTTTAGAAGGGTTTGATTGAGAAGTACATGCTGCAAGAGTTGGGTGGCAAGGCTGCACCCAAGACAGGCACATGTGGACACGGTCCATTCCAAGTGATTGACTGGAACATGTTGATAGCTGTTCCTTTAAGTGTGCCAATTTGGAGATATTGGCTCTTGGAGATTTCGTTGTAAAAATCAATGCACATCCCTCCCACTTGTACAGCAGCGCATTCAGATGTAGTCACTGTTGGATGCTTTATAAATCGCCGACGATGATTAATACAAAACGTCACGTTAAATTGGTACACCGGGTGGTCGGCGCGGCTGTTTCCACCGCTCACGCGCGGGGTTGTTTGCGAGAATTTTGATTTCGGTCACACAAGCGTGCAGCTCGCAGATCAACTGTGCGATTGCCTCGATGAGCAAATCAAATATTTGGTAATTTATACTGTTCTGGGAATCTACCCACCGAGATTCACAGATGCAATTTGCAGATCTGTTAGGGGAAGGCTTCGTTTTTGAGAATTGGCCTCCATATAGGCCAGTCTGGGCACTGTTATTGACCTGTGTTAAGATTTTTAAGATGCTGCATTTAACACCCCTGATCTTTCTGAAGAGCGCCATGGAACATTTAACTTGTGCACGGAATAGTTGGGATTTGTCATTTGTAATTATGAAAAAACAATCCGTTCTCATGTTAAGGTTAGTAATTTCCAAAGAAAACATTGACGGCATCGCTCTGAGGGAGCTACAGGCATTGCCAGCTGTTTGCTCTAAATCTAAAGCTCAATATGTGGAAACATTTCATACCCTGTTTTGGCCACTAGAGGGCTCTGTCGTAACTGAAATATACAGCACTAACGTAAATATTAAATATCTGAGCTTATTAAATGCACAGCATGTAAAGCACTTAACTTGTTTATTCCCTCATACATTGCCCAACAATGTACAAGCCATTATTCATTCTAATTAAATTGTTTCTAGTTTCTTTCCTCTGCCTACTTATCCTATTTTTACGATATGTATATATGCTGTAAAAACAGAATGTGCTTGATTTAGAAATATCTGTTAATATTACTGGGCTGAAACTAAAAACCCCATTCTGTGCAACCAAAATGATGTGGTCCATCTTTTTTTTTACAAAGAAACCACATTAGGCACAGCCATTAGATATCGTGTAACCTGCAGTGAAAGTAATAATATAGTCTTTCTTTAATTGAACCATACCGGCTGCATTGAGGTGCGCACTAGTAAACCTGGACGGGCGCATTCTGCTCTGTGGAGGTGACAATGTCACTCTTCTTAGGCAGGGATGGGAAGTCTAGGGCCTGCCACTTCAACTCCTTACAGCCCATCATCATCTGAGGCCTACCGCCTCAAAACGACTTGCAAATGACATTTATCCATCGCTGCAAGCATCGCGGCCACAGTAATTGTGTACGAGAGGATAATTGCAACCTGGAAACACCGTTTGTAACGTCAGCGCGCCAACTCACTCTTGTCACTGCACGCGCTTCATGCAGTGACAAAACTGACTGAGGTGTGTCAATGTGTGACGCAATGAAGGGGTTTGAAAGGCCTCCTATTTCGCCCTCGGTGAGGGAAAGGTTGCCCCACCCATGTCTTAACGGGATTCAATGGTGTGTGGGTGCGTGTACAGGTGTGGAACACGAGCACATGCGAGTTTGTGCGCACGCTAAACGGACACAAGCGTGGCATCGCCTGCCTGCAGTACCGCGACCGCCTGGTGGTCAGCGGCTCGTCGGATAACACTATTCGGTGAGCTGGCCTTTCATTTTGCAAAACATGAGTGACTGTTATTTGCGGTGGCCATGCATGCACAGAATGAGAACACCTGAGCAACTTCCTTTATCACACAACTGGAAGGGACCCATGCAGGTGTCACTCACCACTGATGTTAGCCCTGGCCGGGAATCAAACTCCGGCCGCCGGGTTCGTAGCACAGCGCGCATACTACTGCCACCAATTAAGAGGGTAGCTTTCTTGGCTTCACAACTGGGCTACCAGTTACAGAGCATTTTCCTAATGAGCCAATCAGCCAAAAAATAATTTATATTTGGTTAACGATGTGATGACTCAACTCAAGACTGTCTCACTGGGCAAATGCTGCGAGTTATTTTGATTTTGGGTCGCGGTTTTATTCCACCATCGTTTGCACTGCGGCTCATTATGTTAACTACATTTGCCCAAATGTACATGTGCCAACATTTGTAAATAATCGATGTGCACATGCACATTTAAATACATATTTAAGCCTGAAAATAATACATATTGATCAATGGTTCGATGCACCATCGCACGCCTGGAGGTCCATCGTCATCTCGTTTTCGAGATTGTTGAGCGTCTCTGCTGCCGCCTCTTGCCACGCAGGCTCTGGGACATCGAGTGCGGCGCGTGCCTGCGCGTGCTGGAGGGGCACGAGGAGCTGGTGCGGTGCATCCGCTTCGACAACAAGAGGATCGTGAGCGGCGCTTACGATGGGTGAGTTGCTGCCACGTCCGCCCCCAGACGCTTTTGCCGGCGAACGTGGATGGGACACGTGTCACCTTTGAGGCCAAACTCGGCGATGTTATGAACTCCATTGTGGCAAAATGAAAACACTTTAGATTACCTTTCCATCATTCTCTTCTTCGTCGTCCCTGTTGTACCACGCTGTAGATTGTGACAGATGTGTAATTGTATTTTACAACACATTGTGTACTGTTGTGGAAGATCATGGGCATCATAGAAAAATGTCTATTTCCACATAAGTGAAGGCAGCCATCGGCTACATTTTTTTATTAGTGCAGAGACACACATTTACGATGTGTGGTTATGTACATGTACAGTGGGGGTGTATGGATAATTTTTCACGTAGAAGTCGTTTGACCATTGAAGCTGCTGGTTTGGTGGTTTGAAAGTGTTAGGTATTGGAGGATAAGGGGTTTGTGTCTGCAGGAAAGCTTCCTTCAGCCAAGCTGCTCAGAAACAATATTCTTCACTGTAAACACGAAGCAACGTTATATATTAAGATTGAAATATGTAACAAGGTACATGGGGAAAACTACCTCGTAGACATGGTATTGCGGGGACAAAGTATGTATATCATTTTTATTGTACAACAAAAATACTTAACATATCCCAATGTTTGTTTGTGGTGTGCAGTAAAATTAAAGTGTGGGACCTGGTAGCAGCACTTGATCCACGAGCCCCGGCCGGCACTCTGTGCTTGCGCACATTGGTGGTAAGAAACAATGAGTGTTGGAATTTAAAGAAACATTTAACTATGATGATACATGTGATTTGTGTAGAGTAGCATGAGATATTGTTTTAACTGCAAGCAACTCATTTATGCTGGTGTCAACTGAAAATTCGGAGCAAGTCTTCTACTGCTATTGTTATGGAAAACGATTGTCTTCAAAAAGTAAAGTGTTATTGTTATTCAGTAAAAAAAATGAAGTCACCTTTTCCATGACTTTGTACACCATGCACGTTGCATTCCGAAAATGTGAATGGGTTATATTTGTGATTTGGTGCGGTCATTTGCCTGTGACCCAATAATTTGGGATGCGCCCGAGCTCTTCGGGGTTCAGCCTGGATAGTGCTCCCATGAGTGACCACGACGCACAAACGCGCGGTCACAGAGTTTGCGTGGCCATGTGGTGGACAGCAGAGGGCAGTGCAGCCAAATCTGTTGTACTGAACCTCTACACTCCCACATCTATGCTGCCCACCTTTACCAAAGCTTCACCAACCAGCACGGTGAAGCATGGTGAAATAACCCCCACGACCCGCACCGCCTGTGGGGAAGCCCTCATCCAGCAGTCGAAGTAGCAAGAAGGGCTGCGCACGGGCAAGATAAAATTGTCCACTTTGTCCGTGCATGCTGAAGTGCAATGGCCAGGGCGGTTTCCGAGTGAAGCTTGCACATTTGTGACGCGCGCCGTCGTTTTCCCCCTCCCCCTCCCTCTGCCATGTGGAACCTCTGGCGTTGCAGGAGCACTCTGGCCGCGTGTTCCGTCTGCAATTCGACGAGTTCCAAATCGTGAGCAGCTCGCACGACGACACCATCCTCATCTGGGACTTCCTCAACGTGCCGGCAGCACAGGCGGAGGCGGCCCGCTCCCCGTCGCGCACGTACACCTACGTTTCCAGATAGACGAACTGCAGGTCCGTCTGAGCAGACTGGCGCGGCCCGCGCGCGCGCGCACCCACCCATCCGTCTCGCCATTGGTGGGATGTGTATGGCAGCAATATTGTCGTTAAACGGCCAATTGTAGTAGCCTAAACAAACGTGTAGCTAAATGAGAAACGGTCACTTGCATTGTTGAAACAATGTAACTTGATGTTAAAAATTTTGTTTACCCGAATTGCACATTATGGAATAAACAGCTGGAGTTTTTAAATAATTTTCAAATTGGCAAGTATGCTTTATGATGTTATTACTTTGACATATCTTGTAAAATGTGATGTTTCTACTAATAAGCTACCATAACCTGTATATTGCTTTTAAATCGAACAAAAATTTGAGTTGTATTTTTTTTTATATATATACAACAAATTACAGCTTAATGCAGCAGTTGTGTTAAAGCACTGGTTCAACACTTTTTGTTCAAATTTGTTGTGTATTATATAAAACTTGCACCTAATGGCCTCACTACAACAATGTGACACACCTGCTCCCTACACTGGCTATTCGCGACCTGACAAAATTGCTTCGTTTCTCTCCAGGGACGCTGAACGAGCCTTCTCCCTGGATAATTTGGCGATTAGACGGATAAGCTATCAACAATATTAATTGTGTGTAGGCTTTTGAATTTACCGAGGGATTCTGGATGAAATCGACCAACACTGAAGCTTGACCTCTGCTAACTTGTGGGACATCTTGGCACAAGTGCATTTGGCTGGTGCCAGGCTCCCAGCTAAACACGGTGGCACTGTGAGCAGCCGGAAGAGTTTAGTTGATGGATGACCTATCACTACAACCACAGTTCGACACTTAACTACGTACCTACATCTCGGTGTATTTCAACGCTCTTGCCCCGACCCCTGTCTTCTTGACCTCATGGCTGCTTTTTTCGTGGCATTTGAAAACCAGCCTCAAGTATGAGTTGGGAAAACTTGTAGCTATTGTGAATTGCTTTGTAATAGGACTAGTGAGATCGTGCTTGGTTGTGTAAATAAATCTTGTTTCTTTTTTTAATTCTACACATGGCATCTTGTCACCCGGTGTTTGGCAGTTTTGACCTACAAACATGTATTGGATGCTGCTATGATTTCATGTTGAAGCCAGCTTGTATTTCATCATGTTTGCCCACTTGACCATTATACTATATTTATCACAACCTTACTGCTGAGCACATTATAATTGGTGTTTAGGGAAAGTTGTTTAAAAAAAGAAATAAATAAAAGTCTGTTACATCATTAACCAAAGGCTCAACTAAATTTATTGCTGCCCTTTTCAGTAGATGCCATTATAAGAGTGACACATTTACGCAGGTATTATAAAATCATAGAATGACAGCAGTGTTCTTACAGGTGAAATGAGTCACGGTCTGCAACATCTTTGTTTTCATATTAGTTTAGTTGTGTATAGAATCCATTTTCTTTTTTGTACTTTATTTTTTAGTGTGTGTGCGTGTGTTGTAAATTCACTGTTTGACTATTGGCCACGGCTGGACTTGGACATCATCTCGAGTAGATTGCATGCAGCTTTTGCTACGTTTCTTTTGTAAATAATCTTTGCTCTTGTGCAAGTGGACGACCCCACTCATAACATTAGTACTTTCAGTACGGTTTGGATTAAAACAAAACTGTTACATGTACATATATGGTAGCTTTGCTTTACAGTTCTCTTGACCGTGTTTCATGCATGTATTTGGAAAAAGAGATCAGACTTGCAAATCCCAATGCATTAAGAATTTAGTTAATTGCAAACTACGTTTAGCATTTCAACACATTCGACGCTGCTTGAGTAGAACATCTGGTTTGGGATTTATCATTAAATCTGACCGATTTTCTGCTGACGTGACTATTAATATTCCAAACAAATTGAGGTGGGGCATGTATTGAACATCTCTGCTTGCAACTCAGTCATCTGTGTGCATCATACAATTGCAAATAGTGCATATTTTCCCCTTTATGTATTGACATTAGATTATTAGAATGCATAGATAGCTGATTTCTGATTTCAGTGTAATGTTACCATAAGCAGTTTCTTTGGTCTTTGTAGTTTATTTTTGTACATTAATGTGTAAAGTCCATGATAACTGGGGTACTGATGTGCCTGCTGTGTTTGTAATGCTGTACGTCTTCAATAAACTGTGCTTAACTCCGATCCGTTTTAAACAGAAGCCTATCATCACAACCCCCAGTGTTTTATGGATGGGAATGTTTTTCAAAATAATTTTGTATCAATGTGTCTGATGAAAACTGTATCAATCCCTTTTCTTTGGCAAGAAACTTTGACCATTTAAAAATCCTCCTTAACATGCATGTAAATTCATGTTAGCCTTCTCTTTTCATTGGCTAAGCCATTGGATGCATTTTAATTGTGATCATAAAACGTGTGCACCTGTGTCTTATATTAACTAATGACACAAACGATAAGTGTAGTTGAATAATGCATCGGTTTTGCGTATGTATGGATATGGATTTTTGGCACTAATTGCTGTTCGTGTGTAAAATTTACTCTGTCGCTCATGCCGTTTGGAAGTGTAATCTCTCACCCTTGATTCACTGCTGGCAATCTACGAGACAGATATTACACCAAGTGGTGCGTACATTAATGTATAAATCTTGCACACGTCGAGTCATTTTTTTTTTCCTGAATAAAAATAGTTTATTCACGCAAACAATCTTGCGAGTGAAGGATTCAAGCTGCCAAGTCACGGTGGTCTATTTTATTTATATTACTATAGCAAAACAATTATATTAACACTAAAATATATATTTGAATTTACAAAAATGGACAGTATAAGATACCGCTTGTTTAGTTGACAAGGCAATTCAACCAGTGTTATCACATGGCTTCAGTTAGCCGATGCATATGTAATACTGAATTTAAGACCATTTATACCCTTATTCTGTTTTTACTCTTCCACATGTTGGGAGTTTAACATATTTTGGCTCAGAATTATAACTTTACAATGTTAGTCTTGAGTTAAGACTGTAGTACATGTAGTAGAACCTGGAACCTTTCATTGATACATATCTATAACTTACAAAAATATACATAAAAATACCATTTGGAATTATAATACAGCACTTAAATATACAATTTCCTTCCAGAGAGAAATGTCAGATGTGCAACTACCAAGGCTGGCTATTTACATTTCAATGTCATGTGACCATAGTACCCGTGTACAGATTACAGGGGGCTTGTGTGCGAGTAAGCAACAGCATCGCTTTTGTGCCAAACCGATCTAGCCAAGGATTTGAATTTGGATGCTTTATAACTCACCAAAAACAACACACGACCTGTATGCTGTAGAATCACACAAATACGCAGCAATAATTAATGTCGAATAAATATTCTTTTTTGGGAAGCAAACAGGGCACTTCAGTGCTCTAACGACTACCATGTCGTGAAGAAATACTTAGTCCCTGGTCAACAATTTTGTCTTGAATACGAAGCAGTCATCAGCTGACGGGGCCTTCCGAAATACTGTAGTACAAGAGCAATGGTGCTGGCTGAAAAAGAGAAGCGAAAAGGCGCGTGACTTAAATGCGTTGCATGTTACACTTTCAACGTTGAGCTTCAGCACAAATATGTAATGCTTCATTTAAGCGTTGACTTGCCTTTTGATACCAGTACGTCAACCAAACTTCCTTCAGTGTCGTGTCGTCCAAAAGTGACTCCTCCTCAAAATGTACAAATACCTGGACAAACGAGCACAAAAATCGTACAACATAAATCTTTTAACGTTTTAAGTTCAAGGGTTACAACACGATGGCGGCACGCGTCTTCGCGTCGCTGGAATGAACTGGCAGTCTGGGTGTGAATACGTGGCTGGACCATAGATGGGGGGGGGGGCGGTGCAGGTGATTGATCGCGCGTGGCTGCGCGCTGCGGTGCCACTGCGCATTCCGCGGCCGAGATTTCCTCCTCGGCAGACGTCTCGCGCCGCCGTGCCCGCGATGCCGTGAAATTGCGGCCGATTGGAAAACAAAAGTCGCTTGGGAAAGCGGCGCCCCCTCAACGCTCGCTGCCCATCGCTACTTCAGCTGCGCAGGATTTTCTTCGCAGAGATGGTTTTTAACCGGCCGTGGTAGTGATGGTTCGATTCATTCGTCAAAGGAAGTACTTTTTTTCATGCTCACAAAACACGCCTAATTGTGCGCATGCGAACAGCTCATTATCTGTGCAAATTATATGCAAATTATATGTTGTTACATTTAAGTTAATGGAGGGAACAAAGTTGAATGAATGAGATAAAAAAAAATCTTAAATCTATTCCCTGAATTGGCTATCAAATTCGCTGGGGACGGGGTGGTGAATTGTTACATGCTTAATTATTTGTGCTCAATAATGAACATTGAATGTTGAAAAAAACATCTTAATTTGTGTTTGGGTTAAACCGTTCATCGACATTCATTGCAGTCACCCACATTTTTTTTTATAAACTGAAGACGCATCACAAATCTACACTCACCCACAGAATTGCATATTTTGCTCACAACCAGATAGGAATAGGGAAAATGGGCAGAGACGGGCATTATTTCCAACATTTCACGTTAATATCGTATGTGGGTAGAAGTGACAAATGAAGAACTCTACCGATATTAGATTTTCAAGAGTATACGAAGCTGCAGTGGAACGTATCTCGACAGACACGAATCTCAACAGCAGCAGCCGCGTGAATCGTTGAGTAATGCACGCACCTGGGACGGGGGGCAGATGCCCAGCTTCTTGGAGAGGACCTGCCTCAGCTGTGACACGGTCGTGCGCACCGAACACCGCACAAACTTTTGCTGCAAGAAAAAGAAAATGTGACAGGTGCACCGCGTCAAAACTTGATACGAGTCTTAACTGACGAAAGCGGGGGGAAAAATGCCTCTGGAACACATCAGCTACTCTCTGGGGCAGAAAACTACTCTCTGGGGCAGAAAACGGGCATAGCGATTGGGAGATGGTATGTACAATGTTATAAGGAAGGTGTGCTATGCCTTAGGATGACTATGCCAATATTCAGTCCAAATTTAGTAAAAGTCCAAGCACGTGTAAAAGGTCCAGGGGTTGACGCTCGGCTTCAGGCTTGGCCGAGCAAATGACTGACCGCCTTGATGTAAGCGTCAGGTACAGGGTGCTGTGAAAATTCAAGCATGCAATCTTGATTTATTGTGCTCCTCAACAGCACAGAGGGAGTGATGGCATCGGCTGGTCCAGACATGCATACGAACTAGAACCGTCGTAAAAGTCCCAAGCGTGCATTGCTGGCAGTGCAAACATTCATCTTGCCCGTGATTTAACCCCCACGATATGCACAATGAACAGCATGAAAACCAATGTACCTCAACGTCCAAGTCTACTGGAATATCAAGTTTTACATTGGAGACCTTATCAGTACCTTGGCTCAAGTCTCGCACTCTTCATCACTTGGGCACGGAATTATAATTACCAAAAATGTGCTTTAATGCATCTGCATTTATTACATCTGCACACCGCACGCAACTGTGCGAAAACACTCAACATCCAAACACTTCACGTTTGACGGCGGCCCAAGCTTTTGCAGCGCACGACTCTTCCACGAGCACCTCAAAAAATTCGTCGCCACACAAATTGGGAGCCCACCGGCGGCACGCACAGCCGCCGCCGCCGCCGTGTTTTGTCACTAAAATAAGTGGAGGCCACGGCTGCTCGGGCTTGCCAAGTCCCAGCGAACGGAGGTATTTGTCAGAAAATTAATCAGATTTCACGGGCCGCTCCCGGCATGTGCCAAAGCAGTCCCGCGGACAGACGCATGCGGTGCATTCATTACTCGGCTGCCTCGCCAGTAAACGACCCCATCCATCATCATGTATTATCTCTGCATTAGCCCATCCTCCCGTACCCTGCTGACTTCATTTCCTACAACACGCGCGCTGCTCTTAACACAAACGCACGGGAGCCGGCCAGAGGAGCCACACTCTCGTCTCCGCACCCCCCACGCGTCCCACATCCCCCACCCGTCCCACATCCCCCACCCGTCCCACATCCCCCACCCGTCCCACATCCCCGCCTCTTGATTTGTGTTGCAAGGAGCTCCAGCGACGGTCGCCTCTTTAACCTTTTGCTTTCAGTGCGTGTGTGTCGAAGGAGTGGAGGGTGCCAATTTTTACGACTGTGTCTTAACTTGCCGGGTAAATGTGCTGCAGACGACACCGTGCGTGCATGACAGAAACGCACACATTTGGTTGTGCAATTGCAGCGTTCGTTTAAGATTTTAAAAAAATATTTAGGATAAATATACGGACAAAATTACTCGAAATGATATGGAATGTAAGCAAAGGTGAACATTTACATTCTTAAAATAGTTTTTACATATTGCTTTTACTCGGGTAAAACGAGTCATTCTAGTGTGTCACAAAACAGCCGAAATGAATACAAATGCTAAAGCGTTAATTGTTTCCTTCATTTACACCGAACACGTGCTAATTCATCATGATGGGAGTTTAAGCACAGCGCAGCAATATGGTCCTGATCAAGCCCATTAGCCGCCAGCCCGGTGTGGGGGGGCAGCTTCCTCTCTTCGCCAGCGGCGCCATAACAGTGTAATTAGCCCACGCCGCTCCATCATCCTCCGCTTACCTTCAGCACCGGCACCGGTGGCTCTTTGCCCTCCGCCCCCTGCCTCGAGCTGCGGTAGGAGAGGGGAAGCAACAAAAAAAAGTCAGAAAACTACAAAGGGGACAGGTTCATCACCCCGTGCCACAGTCGCATTGCCAGAGGTCGGTCATGTGTGCCCAAGCCTTGGGAGTATTCTCTCCAAAATAATGAACAAAAACATATCAACTAGATTTGAAGTTTTCGTGACTGCAAGGGATTCATATTCTTAGGTTTTTTCGGTAAAGTCACGTAGGTAAAAAATTTAAATTTATAAAAGTAAAATAAAATAAAAATCACGACGTTTCGGAGGCAATACAAGCTTCCATCATCCTCTGCTTACCTTCCACCTGAAGACGGAAGCTTATGTTGCCTCCGAAACGTCGTGATTTTTATTTTATTTTTATTTTACTTTTATTAATTTTAATTTTTTACCTACATGACTTTACCGAAAAAACCTAAGAATATATCAACAACTGCATCTCATGCAGGAAGCCCACCCTTTTCGGAAAATGTAAAGTATTAAAAAAAACGAGTGAAACGCTCGCAATGTGCGAACAATTTTCAATGCAAAGACATGAAGAGCAATAGTACGTCCTGGTCGAATCGGCCACGTGGAAAATAAGTCATATTGAACGTTCCGTGCTGAAGCTCAAAAATGACAAAGCAGGTGCGTTCATGAAAATATCCGTGAAGAGTGGCTTCGTTTCACGTGCATTTTTCCAAAATTCCAACCAGCCAAGTTGCGGACCAAAAATCACAGCAGGCGTAAATATCGGTGGAAAACACTTTCAGTGCTTTAAATGATAACGGGTTTTTTTTCCCGTTTAACTGCCATACGGCGATGGACGGTCCTCTCGGTGGCAAAGCGGTGCCCTCTACCGTGTCGACCAAAGGTCACTTCAAGGGATCCCAAAGACAGTTTGGTGAGCAGCGTTCTTTAACACGCCGTGTTGCAGCATTGCAGTGCGAGAGTTCCGAATGGATACTTCATCTCATGACACCACACCGGTAGAACAATCGTGATAAAACTGGAAGGGAAAAATACAGAATAAAGTGATCGTACTTGTTCTCCCAGAGGTAGTTTAACGATCAAAGAGAAATTCTAATCATAAGAGCAAAAGTAGGGTTGGGGGGGGGGGCAGGTTATAGAAATACTGTCCCCTGTGTATCTCCTTTCCAGGTAGAAAACAAACAACAACAAAGCAATCGACAGATCGATGTGTGTGGCCATAACGCGGGTGTTTTAACGAGGGCTGCTTGGCCAGAGTTTTCACTGAGTAATCAGAAGAGGGGAAATTAACGGCGGGGATGTGCTCAATGTTCCGTTACGAGCGGAGGAGGCCGCTAAGTGCGGCCATGAACAATCGTGGACGCGCGACACTTAATCAAGGCACTGCGGGGTGTAAACAACCGCGCTGATGAAAATGGCACCCTTCCCCGCGCTCCTTCTTAATGTGCGCTAAAAAACCCATTTGCATGACATTAATGGCTAAATTACTTCATCAATTGACAGCTGAAAAAGTGCAAATGTAACACACGACATTCATTAGCGTAATGAAGTACACGGGATACAAAATTGCACAGCTTTGCGCGCCCAATGGCCGGCAGTTTGTCTGCAGAGGAGACATGCTCATTTCTGCTCCTCTTTCCCAGAGTGCAACAGCACCACCTTAAGAGGCTTTCTGGCGGCGACGAGGTCGTTGATATACAGCGGTGCGGGGTCGCGGGTGGCAGACGAGCGATCGGAAAGGGAGAATGACTTTTTGATCGAAATGCACCCGCAAGTGCACTTTTGGAAATGTCAGACGTTTGGTGGCAGTTTAAAAGAGGGACGTCACACCACATTTGCGAGAGCTTTCCAGCCTACACGGACACATTTTCAACCGTGCGGGATACCCACAAATTCACCCCGCTGAAAACTCAAAGCGTGCGATGTTTTAATATTGTTTTGATATTTTTTTGCGGTGCAAATCTTTTTTTTTCTTGCAAAATATCTTTTTCCATTATTAAATATTTCCAAGAATCGCATGCCTCTTTGGAAAAAAAGCAAACAGCGAAGCCTCAAATTCTTCACGATTTCATTTCACAACTGTATTGTATCAGGTTTTATTGAATGATGATGAAAAATGTTTATGCGCCACGACAAACAAATGTTTATTCTTCACGCTGCAGGCAGGTTTTTCCTTCTTATCGAGTAAAGGTAATGTTGAATAAGAGAATTATTAAAAGATTAAGTCTCAATAATGTTCTTATGCACCGCGTATATTTGCAAAAAAAAAAGACCAAATCACGTACCTGATTATACAAACAAACAAAAAACGATTGCATGGAGCTCAATGTCCCAAAGCAATATCACGACATTTTTAAATGATGTTCACATGCATGCTAAAAGAGCAGAACTTGCATCGGGAGCAGCCCGATTAGGGTTCTTAACGCGGGAGAAATTTGCCGTTGTTTCAATCGTAAAGACACTCGTACCAATCAACAAAGCAAAAAAAAAAACAATCGCAAGTTGTACGCAGGGAGAAGCGCTGAGCCAGACACAACGGCCACAGCAGGCTAATGGGGTCCGGCTCCAAAATTAACAGTGTCTTCTGCCAGCTTAGGCAGCCTCCAAAGCCCAAGCAATTACGGGCGGTGGACAACCTGGCAATGATGGATCTGGGCACTTAACCCGCTCCCTACTTTAATCAATATTTCATCATGAGCCTCGCTGAAAGATGACTCGTGCTTTGGTGCTCTCTCCACATTACCAGAGGAGAAAAAAAAAATTATATAGTGCCCCCCCCTCCCCTCCCCACTGCCCCCCCCCCCCCTTCTCAACTCACTCCCACCTACACAGTTAAAAAAACATAATACCGCGGCACAGAAAGCATCAGTCCCTGTGGAGGCTTGCGCACAACAACTGCCGTCGCAAGCAAACAAAAGGATGATGAACATAAGGGGGGGGTTTCACACTTTGTCTCCATCGCAGTAATTGGACTTATGATTATTTGTGGCCGCTGAGCGTAATGGAGAGCGGAACCCGATTGAGGAGGCATGGCGTGAGAGGGCCGCTCGTGCCAGGTGAAGCCGTCAGCAATCATTACACGCAACGCTTCGGAACAAATGATCCCATTTAATAAAAGGCGTCCGTTTTACCTTTTTGAGTACGGAAATTGAGTTTTCTCCATCGCCAGAGGAAATGTGCAAATCCAATTAAATGATGTACATGGCTGATCATAAAATATTTTGTACCAACCACCTACAATAAAATTTTAATATTATTACCCGGAATGCACTTTGGCAACACTACACCAAATTACAAGCCTAAATTGCATTATATAGAAATGAATTTAAGAATATGTATATGGTACACTACCCCATATACATTTTATGTTGACACTATGAACGGAAAGGAAGTGAATGCGAAAACATAATGTAATGACAAATGTCTATTCAACGAGGTAACAAAAAATAAACTGAAGCAAAATAAAAACAACAAAATATTACATCGCGTGTTCATTGAAATATTTTCCAGGAAGCTGTGTGTGTGTGCACAGGAAGATGCATTATTCAGATGGTCTCCACTATCAGGCGGGCTGACGGTGTTTTTGTTGATGTCATTAGCTCACAGTGAAGACACACCAGCGTGCGGGTAGTCATAACTCAGGGCCCCGAGACAAACGACTTTCTCAAATTCGCACCTCGGCGCTGAAGGGCCCATTATCGCGTAATAACAAAAAAGACGGATGGCTCCTTTCACGGCGCTGCGGTTAATGCGATTCCGCCGCACGCCGGGCCCCGCGTTAACTCCAGCCTGCCCGGCGCGCCCGCCGACGTACTCCCGCCTAGAAGGCCGTCTCGGCCCAACCGCGACCCGCCGCACGTTAACAGCCTCCCGCCAAGCCGGGGATCTCTGGCCGATCCCTCCCCCCGCCCCAGATCGTCGCGCGCCGTGCTCTGTCCCAGCGGCAGCCCGCGCACACAAACGGGCGGCCGGGCGAGGCGCGCGGGACCGTGGCAAGACCGCTAGAGTGTTAAATAAGGGCAGAGGAATGGGCCCCGTGCGCCTAATCCGATATTCCTTCAATTATCTCAGCACGAGCAATGGCAGAACAGTTGCTCCCCTTCAGCAGATTAATATATTAATAAAAGTGAGAGGGCGAAATAGATGAGGTCGGCATTTTGCTTCCGCGACTCTGCCTGCCCTCTATCTCCCCTTCTCCTTCATCAGAATAATGTGGCTGTAATGAAAATGACACGGCGCTCAATATCAAGGTGAAGGTTTCCATTACGGGCGACCAATATTGCAGGGGCGGCCCCCAAGGAAGAGGGACGGGGGAATGTGCGATGACAGCTTAATTAAACTCTGATGAGCCAGATTATTTGTCTAATTCTCAATCTGGTCAAGAGGTCTCTGCTTTATTAACTGCATGCATTTTGCGGAGTCTGCGCGAGCCAGGCGGATGGGGAAATGTGAAATTATTGCACTCAAGAGTTAATGCACAAGTGTTAAAGATAAGCGCTGCTAATGAGCGTTTACACTTTCAGTGCTCGCAGCCATTATGCTCTTTCCTTGCGTGCTCCTTCACCGCAAGCACCGGGCGTCTGCGCACCTTTTTCATTGGATTTGCGTCAGAGTTCACCGTGTATTTAGCCTGAACATAAACAAACTTCTTCAAATGACCGTCCGCGTTTACAGACGACGTTGTGGCCGCCATCTGATACTTGATAAACTCGCCGTTCATTTTACACCTCCAGTCGTCTAAACGTTAGCGGGGAAAATGTTCACGCTGGACATACTTCTCTGTTTTTTTTTAATAAACGTTTTATTTCAATGCTCATAAAATAACGTTTTGAATCACGCGAGCGCGTGACTTAATGCCGCCGCACGATCGCTTGCTCAAACACGATGTGTCCAATGGATTTTGCCGTTGCCAGCACGAAAAAATACCCCCCTTGAAAATAGTGGTACGAGAGCGCTCCACACCAGCGCCTTCCCATTGCAAACAGCTTGCGTGTGAACTCTGACCAAACCAGTCTACTTACTGTTTGTTACCGCTCATTGCCTGTAATTTATATTGATGGATGTCCTCTTTTTCTTTTTTTTTTATTCTAATCAACTGCGGACACGAATAATCACTCCTGCATGAACTAAGCTGCGCTATGCGCCATTTACCCGAGTCATTGGAAACTAGCTTTCCTGCTGCTGCTACTGCAGCAGCAGCAGCTGCAAGTGTCCTGATTTTAATGCATTAAATATGCTGACAAGGCTGCTAATAGACTGGAATAGCAATGAATCTAAAAGTTATACAACCTCTAAAAACAGCCAATGTGTTGTGCATGCATTAATATTAAATTCGACGTGAAGATTTATGCCACCGTTTATTAATCGCGTGAACACGTGAACTATGGTCAACTACTAACGCACAATATCTAAATAACCCCCTCGTAGAAACTGCCATCAGGTGAAACAGTTTTTTTTTTCCGTTTCCATCCAAAACCCGGTATTTAATGGTGGAAAATATACAGAAAATTGATATGGTAGCTGAGAAAACATATTGCTTACTTTGTTACAGAAGCAAATATTCCCGCTATGGCTGTAAGCTTTGTTCAAACACACCGCAAGGTGCTTGCCAAATCTTTCTGACAACAGAACATTACGGCGTGCGTATTACTTCAGCTTTTTTGAAATTGTGTATTTTTCACTTTCATACCACGCTCCGTAACCTTCCCCTCGGCTCGCTGTGGCTCAATTGCACTTGAAAGGAGAGACGGATTTTTGTAAACAGGGATGACAAACCGGCATTTATTTTGTTAAAGGTGGTCGATAAAATGCCGGAGATCTGATCGCCAGCCCTCTGTCCACTTCTGGCCTGCAGGAGTCACTAAAGCGGATTTTGTCTTCGAGCAGCAGTCAACCTTCAGCCTTTGCCCTTCCTCCCAGTCATTAAGAGCTGCTCACACATGCCTAGCAGCTCATTTACCCCCAATCAATACCCAACGCCAGACCCGGCTCACAACTTGACATTACAAACAGCCTCTCTCATTCCCGCTGCCTCGCACCCTTCCCGACCTCGCCTGCCCCACCCGTTGGCCGTCGTGCCCACTCCCCACCTCCTATATTCCTTTTTCTTCCACCCTCCCCGCGCATTTGACCCCCAACCCCATCGAAAACCTCGCCCGATATCACCCCAAGCGGGAATATGGACAGGGCGGCCACAGCCTTGAACTCTCTCCGTCCCTTCTCTCCCCACTCCGTCCCCCCCCCCCCTCTCCCAACCCCTCAAGTGACGCGGCGGGCCAGCCATCAACGTGACGCACATTGCTTGAGACGCGAAGCGAGAGATTGGTCGATTTCAATTAGGGGCCAACTACACGCGGCAATCTCTCAAGCCCAATCACAATCCGTCAGCGGCAGGCGGTGAGATGGCGAGGGGGGGGGGGGCAAGGCGAGGCCACCCACCGCTCCGAGCCTCGAGGCTCCATCCCGCAAAGAGCTCGGTGTTGGAGAAAAGAGGGAAAAAAAAGGAGAAAGAAAAACCGTCTTACAAATTAACTCGGCACGGTCAAGCCTCCAGGCCATTTTTTTCCAATCACTGCAGTATTTTCTCGTTTGGCCATTACCTTGGTAGAATACATTATTCGTATCACTGTGTTTTGGTTTCTCTCCCTCCCCCCACCCCCCTTCACATTATTAATTACACCGTCAATACTTAACTAGGAACTTTCAAGCATGTTTTTTTTTTACAAAGTTAAATAGTTATTTTTTATACATCCAATACCTTATCGTTTGGAATGTAACTTCTACAATAAATTTAAATGTATTGTTAATATTATTTTCCCTCCCACAAAGTGTATATTTTGAAACGTCAATATAATTAACCAAAAATGCACACATATATACCACGATCGGCAACCATGCTGGATGAAGGCATTCCCAAACTGTGTCCGTCTCTCAAGTCTCATGAAACAGCTGCACATGATCCACATTTCCCCTTCAGCTACCGCTCCCATCGTTAGTCTTGTCCAACAGAAATGCGATGTCGCTAACTTGCGGACGTTCTCCGATTGACGTGTCTCTCTCTTTTTGTCTCTCAGTGTAGTTCCAAGCATGCACCTTTGGACGCTTCTTTTTCATCTTTAGTTCCATGTTATTTGTTCAACGCCCATGTTTCTCTTCCATTGTTCACAGCAGCTAATATATAATTAGGAAACACTTTCTTGTTTATGGTACGCGTCTCTCTTCAACTACGACAAATAAATACCAAGAAAAAACACGTACGAATGTACACGAAACTACGTGCATGTGTAAAATGTCTGAAAAACCATAACGCCGCATCAAGCCGACGGGACATAAAGGTTTTTGGGTTTTGCTAAAGGACTCGGTATTTCAACTACATTGCCCGTGATCAGATGGTACTTTAAGAGAATTGTCGAAATGTCTTCGTTTCATTCCCAGAAGCGCTTTTGTCTCATTTGGTGGGAGGAGATAGAGGATTGAGGAGGATGAGGGGGGAGAGTTCGCAGGAATAAACTGGGCACAAGCCCCCCCCCACCCCCCCCCGTTTGCGCCGGCCTGCTGCACTTAAGCGCAGGCTTTTTGCTGGTAGTTGGGCGGGCGGTCGATGGGCTGATAGACTGCAGTGCCGGCGCGAGACGCATGCGGTAAACATCTTTAACTGGAGCCATCAATCACGCACTCCGCCAACAGCCTCCCGCCGCAGCGCACGCGGTAAATCTCCCCGATTCGCGTGCACGGCCTGCACCACAAAACGCTTAAATCAATTACCGCCCCTTAAATACGTTTGCACCTTCTGTCCGATCGCTCCCCGCAGTAACAACTCGTTTTGGAGAGCTCACTTTCGGTACAGCTGTATTAACGGTATAATTCTCCCTGCTCGCCGCTGCGTTATACTGCCTTGCGGGGAGAATTTTTTCCATTTCACGGGGGCAAAAGCCTCCTTTCTATGCATGTGCTGGGGCCAAGATGCATCGGTGTACAAAGTAATTTAATGCGATTGAATAGCACCGTGACCAAAAACTGGTCAAACTCCTGCCTACACCCGATCAGATTCACATACTCTATGCTGTTTTGCTGTACCTATTTAAACCTAGGTCCCCCTTAAAGATACCCTTCTAGTCTCACAGGGCTTTTACCCGGTCATAAATAAGAGTTATCTACGTGGTGAAGTGATATGCAAAATGCACTATACACCCGACGGCCAGAGTTCAATTCCTGGCCATGGATAACATCAGCGGCGAGTCATATCTGAACCGATCCCCTGTGCACCTCTCCCTTTACCAACCCGCACCGACCAGCGTGGTGAAGTATGGACAAACAACCCCCAGGGCGCGAAGGACTTCATCCAGCAGTGGAATTAGGATGGCCACAAATTAAGTATTGTTTTTCCAATAGGCATCTTATCTACTCACTCTCCTCGCAATTTGATGTACCGTGACAATTTGGGGTTATTATTCTATTTTAAGAATAGCTAACCTATTACATACAACATATACAAATGAGAACCAATAGTTTCTCACACACATCGCCATTGGACGCATGTATCGTGAGCACAAAAACAACTATAATTTATGAATCTGCACATCGTTACATACCGGGCCGACTATCCATCAACGCTTACAATCCTGTCCTTTTTGGCACAGCTATTCCACACTTTAAGTAATTCATTACAGTACCAATTATCAGCTTGATGACAAATCAGACACAAAGAAAATATCTGGGGAAAAAAGGCATCGCCCGTGATCCCGTGCGCGTGAGACTGGAAGGGAGGCGATGGGCGGAACTTGGTGACATCGTCAGCAACGTCAGCTGCGTCGCGCTGGATGCAGCTTCATAGGGATTCCTGTCTTCGGGGAGGCTGGATGTGAGGGTGGTGGCCCCCGTTATTGGGGTGCCACGGTGGTGAGATGTTAACTATCTCGCCTGGTATACATTATGCGTGGGTTCGATCCCGACCCTGACACCTATATATTTGGAGTTTGCGGTGTCTCTCTTCCCCGTTGTCATGTGGATTTTTCTCCGGGAACTCCAGTTTTTTCCCTCCACATTTAGAAACACGCGTTTAGATTATTTGGCTGCTATAAATTTCAACATGACAAGCCACTTCGTTGAGCTATCATTTGTGGCCAGATCGCTTCTGAAAAGAACTACATAGCTCAGTAGACCTTACCTGGTAAAATAAAAAATAGTAAAGCGTATTAAAGAGTCCTGAGTATGTTTTATCGATTAATTCACTTAATCGACAAATTATCCCAGCCCTCGTTACAACCCTAAAATCCATCTCTACGCTCGCTATCCTGCCCTTCTGAGCGACTCAACTCTGCGATGAGTTGAGTCGCGCGCACACACGTGGGGGACGCGAGCGAACGTGCCGCGAGGTGCCCGGGCGTGTGCCGCTCACCTGTGTCGCTCCAGGCACAGCCGCACCAGCTCGTCGTAGCAGTAGTAGTGCGCCTTGGAGAGGTCGAAGGGGAGACTCTGCAGGGACGTCTGCTCCGCAGCCGTGCTCTCTGCAGGTGCGACGCCGATAGCACAAACGTCACGTGCGTCGCTCGCCGTAAGCCCGGCTGTTTCGCCGCATCGCAGTTTGCAACAATTTGATGCAGACCCAGACATCCAAAGTTTTGAATTGTTGCTGCTGTTTTCTGCCCCCTGGCTGCCCCCAGCTGCCCCCGGCTGCCCCCCCCCCCCCCACCCATCCTGGTGTTTCTAGCAATTTTAAAACTGATTTAAAAAAAACACGTTTTAAACAAATGTCCATCAGGCCCCCAATGATGTTCAGTGCAGTCAGTCTCCAACTCTTATGAACTCGCTCTTCCCTGGTCTCTACTATATTTATATTCAATGAAGAGGGGCTTTTGCCTGCAACATTACCACTTAAAAAACATTGTTTTAAGTAATTTTGCTTGTTCGCCACTGCCAATGAGTTACAATAATTCATTTAGAATATAATATAGACATTATTTAACAATACATTTGTAAATATTGCGGTTTGCATCTTGAAAGTACATTAACATCCTTTATACAATGGCGACGATCGTGCCAAGCACTTAATGACACTGATAAGGTGAACGAGTGCCATTGTATTAAACAAGTTCTGCGCATGGAATCGTTTGTATTTTCGCTTGAAGCCATATACACAGGCACATCAGCACACGGGCATCTGCTCACCCACCTTCAGCCTGAACGACCCGATCAAGTCCCCTCGACTGATAAAATTCCCTGATGCGGCGTTCCTCATCTGTGAGTACACAAAGAGAGGGGGAGGGGGGGGGGCGTCAATGTTAAACAAACGCTGCGAATCATCAACACATGTCCACAGCTGGAGGGCAGCTGCCACCGAGGGGTGTTTGCCAAAATGATCTCTCGGCACAGGTCATTGATGGGTGACCTGGTAGCCAGCTTGTGGTCAAGAGCACAATGTCGTTTCAAACACCACGCTCTTCTCAAAAAGTTCAAACTTGTAATAGCATATAAAGGGGTGTACCCCTTGTGTGGATAATACTGAAGTGACTTCAGAAGTAGCTCTCCAATGACGACTTTCAGGGCTGCTCTCTGACGCAGAATAGTGCCGTGCTTGCCGCAACAGTTCCAAGTGGAGATTCATTCAACTCATGACGTGACACCAATAGCAGAAATGGAATATAATCATGGCAAAAAAAAATTGACGGAAAAATGCAATTAATATGTACAACTCATTCTAAAATCAATCCCTCCCACAATTCTTCAGGAGTGTTTACTATTCCATATTGTTGACCCCCACGTCCCCCCCCCCACAGAATACAATGCAAATATTTACAGAGCCAAACACACACCGACTACTACTGCTACTACTGCGAGTCAGCCTCACGAAGACCAAATAGCCGAGAGGCGGGACGAATCCATTTCAAGTGAAAACAATCACAACCAAACGGTTACGCCGGCTGGTCAGCCACAAATGACGGTGACGCAAACTCTACCTTTGGAACACCCAACCTCTTTTTGTTCGTCATATCTGCTTCAGAGTGGGCCATTAAGATTTCACGAATTGCTGTTGGTTTGTTAATGTGTAAGTAGGACCTGGCACGGGTTGGTTTTTTTCCCGCCCCTTCCGAGTTTGTGGCAGCTATGGTAAACGAGTGTTTGGCAGTCATCTTTTCGGGACAGCAGACTTCAGCCGGGAGATGGTGTCGCCTTTAAAAATGAACATGGGCTCCAAAAAGTCTTCACGAGCTATGAACGTGCTCGCTGTCATCATGAACGTGACGGTCGTGGTCGTCATCGCTGTGCTCTTGTGGTATTTCATTGCCTTCGATCCAAGCGCTAAAAAGGATACCGCAGACGAGGTACGCAACGCAGAACAGTCACCACGCTTCTGTGTTCAGATTCCAATTGTTTGCTTAATCGTGACTTATTGCAATGTCACTGTTAGACTCTACTCTGAATATAGTTAGGCTTTGATTAGGAAGACTTGTAATAGTGTTGTATCCACGTTGGTACTCATGATATTGGTTATCATAAATTATGCATGGATTTTTCAAACTAACGGGTTGGATATTGGAATGCATGATAATGTGAGTTTGTGGTCCATCATGTCAACTGCTGTTAAAAAGATCTTGACTTAAAGCTTTCGTGACTGCAGGAATTCATATTCTTTGGGTCTTTCGGTAAAGCCACGTAGATAGAACAAATAATAAAAATAACAAAATCAGCAGCTCTCCCGCTATATTTTTCACCGGATGACGATTGCGTGTGTTGCGATCGAAACGTCGTGTTATTGTTATTATTTGTACGACTTGTTCTATCTACGTGGCTTTACCGAAAGACCCAAAGAATATGCTGTTAAAAACTTCTCTGTTTCCATGCACGCGAGTCCTGCGGCTGCGAATGAATGGGAAAATTAAATGTATGCTCCAGGAATAAAGTACATTTAAAAAAATGTCAATCTTTGAAGAATGCAGATATAAAAAAAATATTTGAATGTAGTTTCGGAATAAATCAACGCAGCCGGGTGAACCACACTTCTGATGGAGCGAGTGTGAGTGCGTGGGTTAGTGCATTTATGAATGTTCATGTAAATATAGATTAAATGTTTGTTTTGTTTATTGTGAAGCATCTGGAGAAGCAGTTACATGTAGATGTTGTATAAATCTAAAATGCATTGAAAAGTGCATTGTGTATTGAAATTCACTTGATCTGGGGCTGCGATGTGGCCAGGAGATGGCAGTGGTGCATTAAAGTGAATCCATTTGAGAGCGACTTTAGAGTGTTAACCCCTCATAAGCATATGTTTTCTCCAGCCATCCCAGTTTCATCCTCCATGCCAAAAACTCATTAACAGGACTGGCCAAACATCACAATGCAAAACCATCCTCAAAAAGAGTTCCAAGACTCGGCAAATCTTCCTGAACAAATAAAGTGCACTATTATTATTACATTACCTGCTATGACATATGCAATAGAAACACATGGACATTGACAAAGATATTAACAAATGCTAAAAAGCACACAAAGAAACAGAGACAAGCAGACAAACATAAGATCAGATAACATTTCACAAATAACACAAACAATTGACTGAAAAGTGGTTTGGGAAGCACACATTGCAAGAAGAGACGATGTCCGGTGGGTGGTCATGACTAACGACTAGGTGGCAGCCAAAGAAAGGAACATGTCCGAGAAGACATCCACTGCAGAGATGGAACGACATTATCAGCTTGTGTGCAGGTGTTCATCTTCTTGGTTCTTTCGGTAAAGTCACGTAGAAGGGAAGTAATAAAATAATAAAAATAAAACATTATATTATTATTTTTATTATTTTATTACTTCCCTTCTACGTGACTTTACCGAAAGAACCAAGAAGATGAATCCCTGCAGTCACGAAAGCTTTAAATCGAAATTGTGTGCAGGTGTTTGGTTGATTGTTGTAACACAGGAACGTGAGAGATGGCGACAACTTGACGATATAACCTTCATCCATCAGTGGAGAGATCGTGGCTAACAACGGGTGCAAGTGTATATGAGCTTTTAGGTTAATTACATTTTACATTTTACAATTAACAAATCACCAATCTCATTCAGCAAGCAGTAGATCGATGAGGCGTGATGATGACGATGCTGAAAAGGGGGGTCGCGCTTTGCGAGATGTTAGCTACCTCGCCTGGTATACACGAGGTCGTGGGTTCGATCCCGACCCTGACGCCTGTATATTTAGAGTTTGCAGTGTTTCTCTCCCCGTGGTCATGTGGATTTTTCTCCAGGTCCTCCGGTTTTCCCTCCACATTCAGGAACATGTGTTTTAGAGTATTTGGCTACTATAAATTTCCACATAAGCCACTTCCTTGAGCTATCATTTGTGGTCAGGTCGCTTCTGAAAAAGAGCTATATATCTCAGTGGGCCCTTCCCAGGTAAAATTAAAAAGTAGTTAAATAGTTGAGTAAATTTCGCAGGGATTCATCTTCTTGGTTCTTTCGGTAAAGTCACGTAGAATGGAAATAATAAAATAATACAAATAAAACATAATAAAATAATTCTCACGACGTTTCGGCCACAACGCAAGCAGCCGTCCTCAGGTGGAGAACAGTCTGTCTGTCTGTCTTCTCGACAGACCTGTTCTCCACCTGAGGACGGCTGCTTGCGTTGTGGCCGAAACGTCGTGAGAATTATTTTATTATGTTTTATTTTTATTATTTTATTATTTCCATTCTACGTGACTTTACCGAAAGAACCAAGTAGTTGAGTAAATTCATGACACCTGTGTCTCGAGCAGAACGTTCAGCTGGTGAACACGGCCGAGCTGGAGCTGAAGGCCAACGGCGTCTTCCTGCTGCGGAACCTTGAGGGCAACGTCGTTCTGTCGGGGAGCCTGGGCGTGCCGCGGGGCGCCGCCTGGGACCAGGTCCTCCCCACGGCCTGCAGCGCGGCACCTGGTGCCGGCAAAGTTGCCTGCTGGGAGTGGATCGGCCCGCAGACTAAGGCAAGGGGGCATCTGCTTGCTTAGGCGTCGACGCTTGCAAAAGAACACCCGCTGGGATTTTTGCCTGCACCTCTTCTGACGCGTTCTTGCTCCGTCGTTGCCTGTTCCACTGTACGACGCATCACTCCGACGACAGTGTTGTTCTTGTTCTGTGCTGATGCACCACGGATCTACCTTGCAAACTCGCTGGGTAACTTGCTACACAGGACTTTTCCGTGTAACAAATACATTGATTTGTTTTACAGGACCCTATTTCACACAGGTGGCCTCCTCCCATCTAATATATATACAGATGCGTCGTGCTGCAAACTGGAATGTGCTAAAAAGGCTATGAAAATAATAACGTGCGCAATTATAATCAAGTATACGCTTGTAACTTATGTAAAAAAAAAACTTGAGTTTGAGGCCACCCCAAACGTGTTCCCCAGAGATCACTGAAAGGAATCTCGAAGGTAGCTCCGTAATATTTTCTTCTGTGGACCGGTCTCTTAACATAAAGGGTTGCACTGCTTTGCGAGAAATCTGAATGGATAATTTATCTCGTGACACAATGCCAAAAGCAATAAACGTGTGCAAATGGACCAAATCAGAAGTTCAACTAAGTTAAAGCAATTAGAAAGCAGGCGACCAGTCATGCGTAACTTGGATCACGTAAATTTAATTTCAGCTGAAATGTAATGATATTTGAGATGAGCTCACCTCTACTCAAGTACTATGGAGGTATGGATTGGTTAATTAGGTGGGCAATTTTTTTTTACGGTACAGCAAGTGAGCATATTCACCGATTTGTGTGGACCTTCCTAAAAAATATGAAGAAGTTGTCACCCATTGATGCTTTCTGGATAAAAATAAAAAGTTGCATTATAATTCACTTGAGTATCATTATGTTTAAAAAACTATTTTTTACACAACACCGATGATAAATATACCAAAGGGTAGTTTATAATTACACGTGTTTGACGGACAGGTGAAACTAGGAATAAGTGTGAACCACTCGACCACATCAAACATCTCCTGCCACGAGTTCCACTGGGAGACGACCAGCGAGGACTTTGAGCCCTTTGACTGCTTCAGCATGGCCAACGCACACTGGTAAGGATGCCACGTGTTCATAGTGCCATGCGATAAGAATGCACCACCGTGAAAACACAAGCATGACTAAAAACATAGATTGCAATGATTGCAAAGGGAGACCATGTGAAATCCCTCAGTGAGTAATGTATGTGCAATGCTAACGGGACACACACGTACACGCACAGCCATTCTGGCAATCCACTGCTGGATGAGGGCCTCCCCACACCCGTTGCGGGTCATGGGGGTTAATTGACTGTACCTCAACACGCTGATCAGTGCCGATTGGTGGAGGTACGGAGCACAGAATTTGGAGCATAGTACTGCACAATAGTGCATTTTGCTACACTGCCCTCTGCTGACAACATAGCCCTGCAGCAGCAGCCGTCAACAGCTGTTTCAATTTTGCACGGTGACCACCAATGCAGGCACTGTTCAGGCTACACCCTACTTAGTTTAGGGCGCTACGGTGGCGAGATGTTTACTACCTCGCCTGGTATACAGGAAGTCGTGGGTTCGATTCCGACCCTGATGCCTGTATATTTGGAGTTTGCATGTCTCTCTCCGTGGTTGCGTGGATTTTTCTTTGGGTCCTCCGGTTTTTCCCTCCACATTTAGAATCAACATGTGTTTGAGTATTTGGCTGTTATAAGTTTCCACATGATAAGCCACTTCTTTGAGCTATCATTTGTGGCCAGGTCGCTTCTGAAAAAGAGCTATATCGCTCAGTGGACCTAACCTGGTAAAATAAAAAAAATAGTTTACTTTTAATGTTTATCTTCTGAGATTGGACACAATCCGGGCGATTTGGTCCAATATACTGAACCAAATAATACATTTTACCTTGCGTACATTGTGACGGCCGTGAATCAGCACCAATGAAGACGGTGGCAAAGCACGTTCAGTCTCTACTTCTACGCCAACGAGGTCGGCAGCGTGCGGCTCCTGAGTGGCATGCGGCTCTTTAAGGACTGCTTCGTGACTTATTAGGGACCGCCATCTCGTATTCATATTCTGAGGTTTTTTCGGTAAAGTCAAGTAAAAAATTTTACTTGATACAGCTGTCGTGGCTGTGACGGTTCCACCTGAAGACGGAAGCTTGTGTTGCCTCCGAAACGTCGTGATTTTTATTTTATTTTACTTTTATTAATTTTAATGTTTTTACCTACGTGACTTAACCGAAAAAACCTAAGAATATGAATCCTTGCAGTCACCAAAGCTTCAAATCTAGAATCTCGTATTCATCACGTGCATCATAGTGCTTGAAATATTGAGTTTTTTACAGAAAAAAAAATTTGCTCTTCTTTATTATTTTGGTTCTACACCAATGCTCGTGCACTACCAACTGTTTCATTCGGTTTTGCACACAGAAATGTTCGCAAAATTGGTCAAGCAAATTTCAAGTTAACGTTTATGTCGATATTAACAAATTTAATCCGATAACTGCGAGGTGAAGGTTTCTTTGCTTTTATCAGCAACATTAAAATCACAAACATCTCTTGCAAGCGCAATTCACTTTTACTGTTTCGCAAACAAGCGCTGCCAACGCTGGTTTTTAATCTTGCCACCAGACAGCCGGCAGCAAGGGGCTCTATGTCCTTGTGTTTCTCTATAATTATAAAAAATATATGAGAACACCTAAATAAATGAAAGGGAAATTTGAAACCACTCACGGCGATGTTTACGAGCTGCCCATGTTCTGCTCTGGTGTTGAATGCCAATATAAATGACGACTGTCAATAGAGTTGGGCGATTCCTACAAGAATCATATTCGATTCCTACCATTCCACCCTGGTTGGTTACTGCAGGAATCACGATTCTTCTATGGGCGTGTCTCACGTTAACGTCTCGGCACATTTGGATAGCATCTTCAATTTGAAAAAATAAAACTCAGCCCTGACCGGAAAAACCACGTGGAGCACACAGTCTCGGCAGTGCGGGTGGTTCCAGTGGTAGTGCCGGTGGTCTGAGTGGTAGCATTTGTGGTCCCAACTCTAGCGATCAGAGTAGACACACACACATTCACAAAGTGTTTTCAGTAGTCCCTCGGTTAGCGTTTTTAATCCCTTCCACGAAAACTACTGTTAACCGAAATAACTGTTAATCGAAATTACTTATAAGTTAGAAAAAAGGGAGCTGTTTCCACTGCCAAAACAGAAAACACAATGTAAACAAAGCCAGTCGGGGTCTCAACACTCATAAATGGGTGTCGCTGATTGGCCATGGCATGCTCAGCCCACTTACGAGCGCTCTGATTGGTCGAAATTGGCGCCGCGTGCATAACATAAACATACTGTTTCTCAAAATGTTTACATTCGTCGAAACCACGGAGTCCTATGGGAGGCAAAACGTTCACTAAATAACCGTTAATCGTTGTCACTGTTAACCAAGGAACTACTGTATATATATACCCGTATATACGCGGAAATATCTAAATGTTATTTATAAGCCCAGTCGAGTATCCTCAAGCTGTCTCCAGCTCTCCCGGTCCAGCCACATTTCCACATATCCACACAAATAACGTAATTAATGACCAAAAGTAGTAGGCAAAAAATGAAGTGAACAGTAAAATGTACAGCTGATGTGATAATGAATCCACAGTGGATGGCCCGTCAACAAACAGCAGCTTTCTTCTCTCCCATCCAGGTATGGTGCTGCGGAGATGTACTCGCAGAGGTGGCCCATCAACTCGTGGAACAAGACCATGTCCTTCTACCTGTCTGGCGACATGTTCGAAGACGAGCAGCAGTACGGTTCTCTGCTCGAGCGCTACTGGCTCTCCTCGGCGGGCGCGGCGCTATGGGGGGACGCCGCCAGCCCACTCCACGCCAGCATCAACGGCGACGGCGACGGCCGCATCTGCCTCAAGGGCTCCTACCGCAACGCCCCCTACCCATACCCCGCGGCGGGCGCGGGGACCGTGCCGCCGGCCAGCCTGCGCTACGCTACGTGCTCGGGGCCGGACATCGTGAGCACGCATGCCCACATGGTCTCCGAGCGGCTGGGGAGGCCCACGGACGTGCCAGACGAGCGGATGATCCGGCGTCCTGTCTGGTCGACGTGGGCGCGCTACAAGGTGGGCATCAACCAGAGCAGCGTGCTCGGCTACGCGCGCGAGATCCTCGCCAACAACTTCAGCAACAGCCAGCTGGAGATCGATGACGGCTACGAGACGCACTACGGAGACTTCACCTTCGACCCCGACAAATTCCCGGACGCAGCGGGGATGGTGCGTGAGCTCAAGGCGATGGGCTTCCGCGTCACCACATGGGTCACGCCCTTCATCAACACGGACTCGCCCAGTTTTAAAGGTGACGGTGTAACCGGGGGCTTACGTCCACGCGGAAATGCACTTTGGGTCGCTGATAACTATTTACTACGACAATTTTTTATTTTACAAGGTAAGGCCCACTGAGTTATGTAGCTCTTTTCCAGAAGTGACCTGGCCACAAATGATAGCTCGATGAAGTGGCTTAAAATGTGGAAATGTAAAGCAGCCAAATACTCTAAAACGCATGTTTTTAAATGTGGGGAAAAAAACGGAGGACCCGGTAGAAAATCCATGCGGCCACGGGGAGAACGTGCAAACTCCAAATATACAGGCACCAGGGTTGGGTTGGGATCGAACCCACAACCTCCTGTATACCAGGTGAGGTAGTTAACATCTCACCACCGTGGAGCTCCTCGACTGGAGTAGGCACCTGACTAGTATTCGCAGCCATAGCAGAAGGTATACTGGATGTGGTGTGCCGTGTGCAAAAACATTTAGCAGGTCGCCAACCCGGACACACCTGGCTAAAATTGAGCCCCTGTGTAAAATGCGACGAGTGCTCAAAAACAAAGACGTGAATTAGATTGTGTGTGTGAATGTTAAAGGCATCTTGTAGATTCCATCAGTTTTGTTGTTGATTTTTTTTATATATCGTGTGATGTTATCACAGATTTGCCGGTGAGGAAGACTACTGGTTTTCTGTGACTGTTTTTAGTATTGAGGGAAAAAGATAATAGAACATATTTAAACAAATCTATGGTTTTACATATAGCAGGAAAATTATTAAAGGTTTCTTTTCATTTTTACAAGTAATACTTTTTTTCCACATTTTATTTTTGTGGAGAGACAGATGTAGGATGATTTATTGACTATAATACCAATGATGCTCCAAAACAGCGGACCATATGCTTTACTATGAATGATAATAATTAGTCGTTCACCTGGATTTGACATACTCCCATTGACTTGCATAAATGCCTTTTATATGTAACTAACAACTTCCACACAGGCAGGAGTTGGCATGCACAATGATCAATTCTGGATCTGCACGCTCACATACACCGTGCGTTCTCGTTTGCGCGTGTAGAAGGGGCAGACAGAGGCTACTTCATCAAGGCCGAAAAAAACCACGTGCCGGGCCTGATCAGGTGGTGGAACGGAATAGGTGCGACCGTCGACATGACCAACCCGCTGGCGCGCTCCTGGTACGTCGCCAAGCTGGAGCACGTCCGCACCACCTACGGCATCGACTCCTTCAAGTTCGACGCGGGCGAGATCAACTACCTCCCTCCGCGCTTCGTGACGCTCGCGCCAATGGTGAACCCCGGCATTTACACCAAGCTGTACGCCGAGACGGCGGCACGCTTCGGAGGCCAGGTCGAGCTGCGTGCCGGATGGCAAGGCCAGCACCTGCCCGTCTTCTACCGCATGATGGACAAGGACTCCAACTGGGGCTACAGCAAGGGGCTGCTCACGCTTGTGCCCACGGCCCTCACCTTCAGCGTGCTCGGCTATCCGTTCATCCTGCCGGACATGATCGGCGGCAACGCCTACGAGGGCGGCTTCCACGGCACCGACTTCCGGCCCGAAGAGGAACTGTACATCCGCTGGCTCGAAGTCACCGCCTTCATGCCGGTCATGCAGTTCTCCATCTCTCCTTGGCAGTACGCCGGCAACTCCACGCACGACGTGGTGGGAATCTCGCGCCATTACGCCGCGCTGCACGAGACCATCGTGTCGGACCACATCGTGCACTTCGCGCACGAGGCCGTGCGCACGGGATCGCCGGTCATCCGGCCCATCTGGTGGCTGGAGCCACGCGGCCACGAGGCGCTCACCAGCGACGACGAGTTTCTGATCGGAGACCGCGTGCTGGTGGCTCCCGTCGTGCGCAAGGGCGCCTTGAAGCGCAACGTCTACGTGCCGGGGCCGGGGCTGATGTGGCGCGACGAGATGACCGGCGAGCGCGTGGCCGGCGGCGGCTGGTTGCTCGACTATCCCGTCCCCATCGACAAGATCCCTTGGTTTACCAGGGTGTAGTCTCACAGTGGTAGAGAGGGTAAAGCCTATTCTTATTTTTTCATCACGTAAATCGCACGAGAGCATGCCTCTTTTTTGTGTGCTTGGTATGTAACAGTTTGCCCACCCTCGTTATTTGATAATTTATCACGATTTGGGGTCGTCATTTCACTCTATTTTAAAACTGTGGTGAATAATAATGACTTGAACTCATGAGGCACTTTTTACAAATGTAGCACCAGTAAAGGCTGCAGAGGTCACATATAAACCAATGACAACATATCTGAATCAAACCTATTTGGTGTTCATCGATGAGTGAGTGCATCGCTACATGCCTACTAAATAGCAGCGGTGTAATGATGCAAGAATGATTCTTCAGCTTACCATGCATTCATCGCATCGTGCGTGAGAATCAAATATTTTGCATTTCAGCATGTTATATAATAAGCTCGCGTGATCTCTGCAGCCACTAGAGATGCTATAATGCACTACGCTGTTAGAAAATGTTTCTTGAATCACCAGGGGGACAAATGTGGTATTCATGTCCAGTGTATGTACATTGTAAAACTACTTTTTTTATTCATCAACCAAGCACAACAAATGCCTGCAACCTACATGCACATCTCTAAACTGGATGGATGCTGAAAACATCCAATCCAAAATTTATCCAATCCAAGAATCGTAAAAACTTAAATCAACTTACTTTTGGGTTTGACGGTATATTGGTTTTTGTCAAGTGCCAAGTTTTGTCAAATAAATGAGTACCAAACTAAAAATGTGATTATTTCTGCAATGTGTTTTAATGCATGGACTGAAATGTCTACATGATATGATGACAGCAATTAGCTTTGGATGTTGCAAACACCTCAGTTGCCTCTACCATAAACAAACCAGATTGAGCTACGTACCTCTATTGATGTATGGATGACAGTTTTATCATCAACACACCACCTATTCCATGACATTTGTGTACTTTACCTGTTTAATGCCATTTGGGCGGTGCAGTCCTAGCACTTGTGCCCTAAAGCAACAAGGGCCATGGTTCAATTTCTGACTTGGGCACCTTTCTGTGCCGAGTTTGTATGTTCTCCCACTGTTCTGTATCGGTTTATTTTGAGTTCTCCGGTTTCCTCTCATAGCAAAATGTTTTTTGAATGTAACTGATAGTGGCCAAACAATCAAATGCTGAAAAACAAATGTATCTGCAAATTACGCAATTGGGATGAGACGTAGCAACATCGAATACTTGGCAGGACCCTCCTGAAAAAGTCTTGAGACTCAGGGAGAATTTTATGAATAAACAAGCAAACTAATGATAATTTGTCATCTAAATTGTATGGGTTTACATACATGATTCAATGAACATATCGATTTTTGTTAATATACATATTAGTGAACATAGTGGCCTATAGTGCCTAGAAGGGTCACATGATCCCATTACATAGAACACATACTTTAAAAAATGCATTCCTCCACGCGTGATTCAATACAAGCTCCGTGAGCTTAAGAATCAATATTAATCAACACATCGATGCCTCGTTATACCCACAATAACTTGCCAAAAAATCAGAGGTTCATATCATCAAAGTGGCCGTAGTCCCCTTCTCACAGTATTAAGAGAGTTTCATAAGCTTACATGCTACACAAAAGAAGGCCACCCACCATGCAGGTGATGGGGCTTAATTGGCAATAATTCACCCTATTGGTCAGTGAGTGTTGGTCAAGGCAGGGGAGCAGAGACATTGGAGCACTGCACAGTATACAGTGGATGTGTCTGCACTGCCCCCAACTGACAACACAGACCTGAAGCGGCCTACAATACCTATTTTATGCAGGGTGGTCACCCTTCCAAGCACTATCCAGGATCCGTGATCTGACAACATCAGGCCCATTCTGAGTGATTTGGCCAGATGCACAACTGGAACACAAATTAAACAAAGAGAGCAACAACAAGAAACCCAGCACGAGCGAAAACATCTTGTCAAAAGAAATGCCACAGCAGCTCACCGTTCTGCAGGCCGGGTACCAGCTTGTACACGATCTCCTGCATCACCCGGTCCAGCTTGAGGTTAAGAAGGGGCTGTGTCTCGTGGATCTTGATGTTGCACATGGGGCAGTGCTTGCTTGTCTGCAGATATTTCACAATGCAGCTCTTGCAGACTACCTCAGCAAACACAAAAAAAAACAATGGCAAACGAATTACACTCACATCTATGTATGTTGGTGGAAACACAGCTGAAATGCCAGTTCTCTATTTTACAATACATTGTAGTTAACTTGGTTTTCACCTCTTTATATGAAGGACATCAAAAAAAAATTGTGTATAGGATAGTCAGAAAACTTTACCCAAGTACAATCAAGCACTGCTCGCACACTCACCTGTCGTCTACAAAAAGCACAATCGGTTTTCACGTCGTTTTTAATGTTCCCAGACTTGCTGTTTATTTGAATTAATAAAAGGGTTTAAAATAATCTACAGTCTAAATCGAAAGTTCTATCCAATTTTAAAATGTATCCCACTCACAATCGGCATACATGTCCCATGATCAGCCATGAGCTATGCTGGATGAAGGCCTCCCCATGCTGTTTCTACCTCTCAGGGTATCCCTGCACGAGCCAATTTTATCACTCCAATTACTCCTCGGACATTCTCAGAACATGTATCCCTCTTTAGCTGACACCCCTTTGTTAGTTTTGACCACTGGCCATCATCGCTAATCTAGGTTTACCGCAGAACTCCTGATGAAGACCACATACACTGTGTTGTGCCCTCCTTATCTGGCAGTTTTGAAGCAATGAAAACTTTAGAGTTCCAGTGAGCACCTGCTTTTGCATGTGGGAATATCATAATGTGCCTTGAGACTGGAGGATATAGACAGAATTTAGACAGGTCTTAACATATTCACTCAAATATGTGTAAAGTGTCCTTGTAAAAGCGGAGTAACGTCTCCTGCTTCTTATTACAAACCCATGAAAGTGTGGTGTAAGGTTAAGTGATCTCTTTAACTCACACGTGTGCAGACATTCTGTTATGGTGGTGGCATCCACGAAGTACCCGGCGCAGAGTATACACACGATGTGTTCGTTCAGCTCCTTAATTTTCACGTTCACCTCCTCCTGTAGGTGAGACAAAACACAAAATTCACGACCAACATCGATCAACATATCGGCGCAGCATGAACGCACACTGAGACGCGACATTGACCCCCCCTGGTTAGCTTTGAAGACCGCAGTGGCAAGTGCTGTTAGAGAAAACTTCCACTGACTGCATGGCACACATTGAGATGGTGTAGTCAGAAATATACCTGGCCGCCTTTGTTTCCCTCCACATACCACCAAGGATGTACAAAAAATGTCAGAGTGTCTTGGGGGGCCCAAGACAGATTCAGATGCCACTTGCCGCTGATGTTTTACAAAGGCAGGTATGGAACTCTGTTGTTAGCGAGCAGCTTTAAAGGCTAACATGGCACACGAGGGGGGGAGAGGCAGAGGTCGCAAACGGGTTTTGATTCCTTACCCGTACCCGGCCGCACCAGGGTCGCAAATGGGTACCCGTACCCGTACCTGGCCGGGTACGGGTAGCCGGGTATCGGGTAGGGTACGGGTATCGGGTACCCGATTGCGACCTCTGGGGGAAAGTGGGTGGCCAGGAATCACGCCTGGCCGCATTTGTCTCCCTAGCAGCGATGTTTACACACCGCACCATGTACTCACTTGAGGCCGAGTCGATCTAGGGGAGGGCCAGAACCGGTTAAGAACATCGTCACCGGTGGTGGCCGTGAGCAGGAATCGAACTCGGGTCGCCAGGTGCGTAACGCAGCGCGCTAACCACTACGCCACCGCTCCCCACACACATGTAACATGCATGACGACTACCGCACACACAAATACGCAACACAAGCACACACAAACACCGAATTGGATACGCTTATACACGTACAGTAGTACATCGTACCGCAAAAACGCCACACAATACACAACATGCGGCACATTAGTTATTCATGGTGGCATGCACTGTACAAAGACAAAGACCCCCCGTATGGCCTTAACAGACTGTAGGGGCAAGTGCTGTTAGCCAGTAGCACCTGTGAAGGCCGGCACGGTACACGAGGGGGTGGGTGGCCAACACCACGCCCGACCGCCTTTGTCTCCCCAGTGGCGATGTTTACACACCTTACCAGGACACTCATATTCTTTGGTTCTTTCGGTAAAGTCACGGAGATAGAAATAAATAAAGTGACTTAAAATAATAACAAACAAATTTGAGGCCGAGTCGATCTAGGGGAGGCCCAGGACCGGTTAAAATAATCGTCACCGGTATTGGCCGTGAGCGGGAATCGAACCCGGGTCGCCGGGTTCGTAGCGCAGCGTGGCGCTAACCGCTGCGCCACCGCTCCCCACTGCACACACAGACACACACACGCACTGACCCTGCACGCAGTTATACTTCTTACACATTCTATTAACAGAGGCGCACACAAACACAACAACAACAAACACTCCCCCCACCACGCGTTCGCCACTCAGTCCTCCTCTCCCTCAAACTCCCCCCCTCCCACCCCACACCGCTACCCGGCCCTCTGTACCCTGCCGGGTCGCAGCAACCTTCCGCGGGCAGCCCAACTCAGGCAAGCGAGGGGGGCCCGACTCGCGGCCTATGCGATTTCTCTCCCCCAACCTTCGGGCGACGCCCGGACTCCGCCGCGGCCCGCGCAGCGTCGGTGATCGCGAGCCGCCGTCGTCGCACGCGGCTCGATACACCCCCCCTGAAGCCCAGGCCGAGCCCCTCACCTCGTTGCGCAGCGGGTCGAGCTTGTAGACGCTCTGCAGCTGGTTGCGGAGCCGCATGGCGTTGGCCAGCGGAGTGTCGGACGCCATTGTCCGCGTCCGTGCGGCGGCGCGGCGCAGGACCCCCGCCGCCATCGCCCATTGCATTTCCCAGCGCGGATCGGCGCCGTAAGGGCACCCCCTCCCACCCCACGCACACACTCCCACCCCACACACACCATCCCCCACCCCACCCACCCACACACCCCACCCCACCCACCCACACACCCCACCCCACCCACCCACACACCCCACCCCACCCACCCACACACCCCACCCCACCCACCCACACACCCCACCCCCACCCACCCCACCACACCCCCACCCCACCCACCCACACACCCCCACCCCACCCACCCACACACCCCACCCACCCACCCACACACCCCACCCCACCCACCCACACCCCACCCCACCCCACCCACACACCCCACCCCACCCACCCACACACCCCACCCCACCCACCCACACACCCCACCCACCCACACACCCCACCCCACCCACACACCCCACCCCACCCACCCCACACACCCCACCCACCCCACCCCACCCCACCCACTCACCCCACCCACCCCACCCCACCCACCCACCCCACCCACCCACACACCCCACCCCACCCCACCCACCCACACACCCCACCCCACCCCACCCACCCACCCACCCACCCACACACCCCACCCCACCCACCCACCCACACACCCCACCCCACCCACACACCCCACCCCACCCACCCACACACCCCACCCCACCCACCCACACACCCCACCCCACCCCACCCACCCACACACCCCACCCCACCCCACCCACCCACACACCCCACCCCACACACCCACACACCCCACCCCACCCACACACCCCACCCCACCCCACCCACCCCACACCCCACCCCACCACCCCACACACCCCACACACCCCACACCCACCCCACACACCTCCCCCCCACCCCACCCACTCCCCCCCACCCCACACACTCCCCCCCACCCCACACACCACCCCACACACACCCCACACACACCCCCACCCCCGCACACCGCCCCCACCTCACGCACCCCCCACCTCACGCACCCCCCACCCCACGCACCCCCCACCCCACAAACCCCCCCACCCCACGCACCCCACACACCCCCCCACCCCACACACCCCCCCACCCCACACACCCCCCCACCCCACACACCCCACACACCCCCACACACCCCCCCACCCCACACACCCCACACACCCCCACACACACCCCCACACACCACCCCACACACCCCCCCACCCCACGAACACCCCCACCCCACACACACCCCCCCTAACACCCCCCCCCCTGACACCAGCTGTACCGGAACGACACGAGGACACGCACACGCGGAGCAGAAAGCAAGCACCGTTGTTGACTTGAAAATATAATATTTTTGGTTCTTTCGGTAAAGTCACGTAGATAGAAGATAATAATATAATAATAAATTGGAAATTATAAAAGCAAAAAACCCACGACGTTTCGGAGAGAAAAGAGAAACTAGCACCTCCGTTCGTGAATTTACTTACATGTACTGTATATATTTTTTAAATAACTTTAACGCGTAGGGTTTCGCGACCAATATCAGCCACAATATATTTTTGTCTGTGTGTGTGTTAGATCGCGTAAATGTGTCGTTAAACCTCGCCACCACCCTATACAGCCAAATTAGTAAGGTTTGTCACGGAAACAGAACATGTCAATTAGTAGTGTGGTCGTAAAAGGAAATCAGAATATCTATTCATCCTGGAGGAATCCGATGAGCTATAAACCTCTTGTTCATAGCTGTCCATTACATATGGACATCTTTCTTTTATAGCTGTCCAATAGAAATGGGCATCTTTATTTACTTGTTTTTATCACTTATATTCTCGACAAGCACGCTAATGGGTATCACAGATGTCCATATATAATGGGCGACGTTTCAGGTAATGGCCCTTATAGCGCAAAGGTTTACGGGTTGAGTTTTATTTGGCACAGGTAAAACCCATTGGGAATGGGTTTGGGGGATTCTGGTTACAGAAGGCTGCTCACACGATGAACGTGTTGAGTTTCTGTTGTGATTGTGCACCACTGCAAATGCAGTAGCATCATATACCCATTAGCGTGTTTGTGGAGAATATAAGTAATAAAATAAATAAGCAGAGAATACTTTTTGCCATTTGTTACTAGGTAAAGCTCACTGAGCTCTGTAGCTCTTTTTAGCAGCGACCTGTCCACAATTGATAGCGCAACGAAGTGGCTTATCATTGTGGAAATTGATAGCAGCCAAATAATCTAAACGCATGATGATTCTAAATGTGGAGGGAAAAACCGGAGGACCCCGAGAAAAATCCACACGCCCACGGGGAGAAAGACACGCACAGTCCAAATATACAACAGGCGTCAGAGTCGGTCTCGAACCCACGACCTCCTGTATATCAGGCGAGGTAGTTAACATCTCGTCACTGCAACACCCCTTTTATTAGATATGGGTCCTAGTTCGATGCCTACCCATCCATATTTGTCTCTTCACGTAAAAACATGTCAGCTTTTTTTACATATCCCATCAGTTACACGATCGTCTGGGAGTGAATGATTTGCGTCAAACTCAGACCAATATCTAATAGAGGGCCTTGTCTATAATATCCAGCATTGGTTTGGACAAGCCGGACACTGTTGATGAGAATGATTTTGAAAACCGTCCAGCGATTGCTGCTGAAATAAAATCAATCCCAGAAGATCGTGTGGCTGATAGGATGTGTTAAAAAAATATATGTTGTTTCTTTAAGGGGAGAGACAGATATGAGTGGGAGGCATATTGTCCACTCATTTAGAGTGAGCATAGGGTTCTACGTTAAGGCTGGGACTGACGATTCCATGTGAAATATACAATACTCTATCACTGTTATATGTGTTACTTTTTATTGTGTTTTTTTTTCGGATACGTTCGGTTCTTTTTTAATTCATCTGCGAGACACATAGCCATTGCGTTCACAGCATTCAATCACCCGTTGAGAAGAAAGTCAGAAAGAGGGCCATTCGACATCAGTGGTGTGCCTATACATGGATCATCGTGTACATTAAACATAGTGGGTCAGGGGCACAGAAAATACTTCCGAACCTACAACACCACATCCAGGTGTACACATGTCAATATTACTTTGGCTACGAGTCGCGTGCCTACTGCAGTCTTACTCGCGACCCAGAAAATCGTGAAAAGTTAAATCTTGAGTTTACTGAAGCAGGAATATCGTTGCTAACACAGCAGTGTAGCGTTCCACAATCGACGAGGGTTTGGTTTAACATGTTAAAACCATAATACTGAACAAAAAAATGTGTCCATTTACTGTAAACAAATGTTGCACTCGAGTTTTAATGGAAAAATTTTGAAGAATAAAATTGGACTGGTTTAAAATAATCTTGAGTCTCATCACTGTGTGGCCTGTCAGACAAAATTATAGAAAGTACAAATGGGGTTTTAATTAGGAATGGAAGGCATAATTACATTCATACAAATTAAATATTCCTCTTGCCATTCATTGCACCCTGAATTATTTAACTCAAATTTACTGTACTGTGTTTAAACAAACACATCATTCAGGACGTTGACATTTTATCCTGGTCGTCAGCAGGATACATTTCAGAAGCATGTATGGAAGAAAAAGTGGTGTTAATCTTATTTGTTACATTTTTATTGAATAACATTCACTCTATTAATTTTTTTGCCAGAAAAAGTTATACTCTTTGAGTGAGAGTAGTTGGTAACCCAATCAGATATTTATAACACTACAATATTCCTGCATAATCTATTTTTGAAAAGTATAAAATCACTGATATTTAACATTTCTCCTCCTTCTAGCGCAGAGCCCTGCATCAAGATATTCAAAACATCAAACATAATTCTCCTGTCTTAAGTGATATTATTATTTAATGAGGTATATATCTTTTTTATTTCAGCCGTGTTCATATTCTATACTTTTTTATTCGAATTTGGCTGACGTTGATGCAGAGCAACAGCTATAATTTTACATTGAGGACGTTGAGCCAGATGATGATTGTATCAGGCGTAGCGGAGTGGTGTTGTATTGCTGTTTTGATACCTCCTGCGTATTTGTGAATCGGACATTGCATCGTTGTATGTTCCATCGTCCGTTCTGTGGGTGGTGACCCGAGTCGTTGTACACTGACCGGAAAGTTTTCCATTTTCCATTTGTGGATCATCAAGTATCTGCATCTGCTGCTGCCACGGTTTGTGCGAATAACGGATTAGGGTTGCTGCCCATAATCTTGGCGAAAGATCGAAGCCCGAGATCTTCTGCGTCGGGAATTCAAGTGCTGTTAAAGCGGTACGAAAAATCGATTGGACCGATGATGAGAAAATAAACTCAGGACATAAAATAAACATCTTCACAAAATGCCGCGTTCTCACATGGTTGGTTTCCTGACCTCTGAATTGCTCCGTTTTTATGCCCCCAATGATCTACGTGTATATATGATTTACTGCGCGAGGTTCCATAGCAATGGATATTAAACAACTTTTTTGTCCAGTTTGTTATATATTTTTGACACTTCTTAAGGGTTTGATTTCAGTTAGTTTTGTTGTTTTAATATTAAACTCAACACAAATGCATTTAAATGTATTTTTTTCCAAACCAATATTAATACAAAAACAGGACTGTATCTTTCACTTTCGCTGCCTCCTACAGCATGCATTAAAAAAAATAACAAAGACATGTAAATTTAGATATTATAGTCACGAGGATACGTTTTAAAGCAGGTATATTACTTATGTTAACGACTGTTGAGCCGAATGAACAAACATCTTCAAAACGTAATAAACAGAGCCAGCGAGTATACTACACAGTTCTGCCGTGGTGTACAATACCAATAAACATGTTGTGATTTTAGTACAGCCCGTTGCCAATCCACTGCTGGATGAAAGCCTTCTCATGCTGTGTCGCCCATGGGGATTCTTAGACCATCAAACTTATTCTTGATAATGCAATTGTGTAAGTGTAAATGATTCCTGGCTGATGTAAATGGCCATGCCCTCACAGTTAAAGAAATTAATTTTCAATATAATGGTCTCCCTGTTAATGAAAATATTATCTCTATATTCATAGCAATGTGATTTTTTGCCCTATTG